TCACATGACGATCGTGCGATATCAGTTCACGCACAGCTCAATGGTTTTCGGAACAACCGATTTTGGACGACCTTCGCGAAATTCGATCTTGGAGTTGAACTGACGACCACGATTGAATTCACCATACCATTTAGAGAAATTACTGGTCCTTGATGGAGCTTTATCGCCAAAAAAATTGAATTAAGTGCATCCATGTAACTGTAGTCTGAGTAATCCACGTCGAAAAGTTGTAAAAAAATTAATCGCACCGAAAAATGTTCATTTAAATTTATTCCATTATTTGGCCAAGATGAATTTTTAAGTTACTGTAAACAACACAAACAGCGCTTCGTATGTCAAAACGTTTCTGATCGATAACCTCAAACCAATCCAACTTCACGATAGGCTGTCAAGTTGCAGTTTGCAAACACCAGGGTTGCCAAACCCTAAAAAAGGGTACATTACCAAACTGTGTTGTAACTATAAATTTCTGTATTGCCAAAAAATATTCCCGGGTAATTAAACTCGTTTCAGCAAAACCTACATTTATTAGCATACCTCAGCAAAGGCACTTACTATGTATACAGTCGATAATGATGTTGTATGTATGGTCATCAAACATAAATTACTAGCATACCTATAGGAGAACTTCTTGGAATGTTATTCCACCTTTTTTCTTATCTTTCCTTTTCCACATTAAGAGCGAGAAGTTGTTAATGAAAACATGTTTAACTGTTTAAAAAATTAAAAAAGGTAATTCAAATGTACTTATAAAATTTAAAATAGAATAAAACAAATGAAATTGATGGTTTGAAACAAATTTTGAATAAAGGTGTTATTCAGTATTAAGATATGTTCTTGGAACAATCACAAAAACGTTTCCTTAAAAAACATTGGAAATAATTACAGAAATCTTGCCTTGACAGTGTTTGCTTTCCATTTGATATCACAATAAATATGACCAAGAGCTTTATGCGCTTGAAAAAACTTCTTAAAATCATTCATGTGGAAAATAGAGGATCGGGTAAGCATACCCTTACTCTTGCAATATTTTTTAAATGTATTTCTGGAACCTGATGATACACCCATGTAATTATAATTGCTTAGAATAATCAGTAATTAAGCTTCATTTCACATTTACCAGTTGCAGATTCTGCACTATCTCTGAAACAGGTTGGGGTAGTATTGGACAAGTTGCCATACCAGAAAAATGTAAGAGAATGTCCAGGAAGCTCTCATCCCAATAGATTATGTGTGAGGAATATTTCTTTGTGGCCTTTGGCTTCAAACTTCCAGATTTAAAGCGTAGAATACTTGCATCTAAAGTTATTTCTACTAAATAGATTTTGAATAAATGCTGCCCAAGGGTGCAAGATGATTTGACATGAACATATATATATATATTATATATATATATATATTACAGTAATAAAGTCGGTGTTAGTTACTCCAACTTTATAACTCAAGAATGCTGAACCGAGTTAAGCTGAAATATTGGCCAGGGAGGTAGTTTAGAGCCAGGAGAGAAGGACATAGGATACTTTTTTATCCGTTTCGACAAGCATTCTGTTGACTTGAGATGAAACGTCCAGTCACTATAAACGTGGGGTATTTAACAAAAAAGATCAGACTTGGAATAACAAAACGCAAATGACAGCTAATGTAATTGACGATATAATGACAAATATAATGACGTATGGATGGACAATTTGATATTTGTTAAGAAATCAATTAAATTAAAAACTATTTCATTAAATAAATAATTAACAATTATAATGTAATGATAGTGCCATTGCCCATTCGTAAAAAGTGAAGTGAACTACTAAAACTCTGTAGTGGTTGAATTAAAAGACTTCAAGTTTCCGATACAGTCTTGCATTTGCCATGACCATCAACAAAGCACAAGGCCCAATCCTAAAGTTTGTGCCGGTTTAAAGTCTAGAACATTCATGTTTTTCCATGGTCAGATTATACGTGGGCATGTTCACGGGTTCGGAAGACCCATTGCGTTGCTTGTTTTTTGCGCCTGATAATAAAACAAAAAAATGTGTATCACAAGGTACTTTAAATGAAGAGCAACCTATGTACTAAAATACAGAAATAATTATGAATGATAAATGTAGGTATTTTTTCCAATTTTTCCAAATTTTTTTTGTATTTTTTCCAAAGAAAAAAAACTGCTTATTTATTGCCATTAAGGCGGAACAAAGGTCGCCGGGTCAGCTAGTCCTTCATATTTTCAAAGTCAAAGTACAAATTGTCACGTCTCAGTAAGGTTGTCTTTCTTTAGAAACTTCATTTATGAAGATCGGTTGCATGTGCGCAAATATTCATCTATACTACTGAAATAATATAGGAGAGGATTTTATATAATATAAACAATAAAACATGAGATGAAGTAGCAGTATCTGGACTATTATATGCTGTGCCAACTATATTTCCACCTATTTTCAATGATTAAAAAATCAACCTGTATAATAATAAATTTAACTTTCTTGCATGTAACATCCAAATCTTTTACTACCCTGCTCAAAAGTTCATTTACTATACCACATGTACTACGAGAATAGTCCTCCTAGTTTTCTTGCAAATGCTTCAATTTGCACAAGTTATAAATTAATTTATTGAAATTACTAATCACTCTAGGGAAAGTATTATTTTTCAGCTTTTTCAATGCACAATTGTGAGTGAAAATGTTGACTTGAAACTTTCACAAAATCACTGCTGATAAAGAAAATACTGTCACAGGTAAAACAGAAACCAATCGTAACAAGACACAGTCTTCACTCTTCACTGTACATTATCATGCATTCTTTGGCAATATTGTTTCTTCTTTTTGATGAAGAACATGAAAAGATGTAAGAGCTCATTTTTCATCATAGCATAAGGACTTGCAGTGAATTTCTTTTTATCAAAGTGAAGTGCACCCACCTTCAAAGAAATGAGATTGAATAAACAAGGTAAAACAATTATTTCTCTTAAATAACTTATGTTCCATCTTTAAAATCAACCACACCAGAAAACATAAACAATATTGTGAAAGAAATAAAGACCTACGCTATGAAATTTGATTTCATTTTTATTTCATGTTTAAAAAAATCCCCTCTTGAACTGCCCTTCCATGAATGTACATTGACTTAAGTTAGCAGTTTGAAGTTTGAGGGGTGAGAGACAAAAATGGATGAAAAGATTTTGAATAAGAATAAAATGAGCGTTTAGTGATTAGTAGATATGATGTGGTACCATACCAAGTGCACGAGTACTGTAGGGTATATCAAAACCTTTTCACAGAAACAAGAATGTCAATATTTACATTCGATAAATAAATGGTTGCAATATACATATAAAAAGCAATCTTCATTGGTATCAAGCAACTATTAATACTTCTAATTGTTTGCTAGGAAAGCATTTAGGTTTATTTGCATAATCTTGAATCAATGATAAACCTCATCAGTCAGCACAAATCATGGTGTACTCAGATAGCATACATACACTAAGCCTTCTAAGCATGATGTCACAAACTAAGATTGCATCCAGCGCTGAGTAATACAGTTGGTATTAGATAAAATCAATAACCGCCGAACTAACAAAAACTTAGAAGAAGGTCCAAGAATATCTTATTTTGTCGATTATGGTGTGAGAAACATTATTTTGGGACCTTTGGCTTCAAAACTTCATTTTTAAGGCCCTAAAACAATTCTTAAAGGAGCTTCATATTTAACTATATAGATTTGACAAGACGGCTGAGTTATGGGGATTGCATTTAATGTGAATATTTAGATGCATTGTTTCAATAAATTCTTCATATTTCTAAAGTCAAAATGCAAATTGGTCATATCTCTGTAAAATTCTCTTTCTTTAGAGACCTCATTTATCAAGATTGATTGCGTTTGAGAGCCGAAAAAGATAAGTATACTACTGAAATAATTTAGGAGATGATGGATTACATTTATTGCATACTTTGTCATGAGTTGTGAGTGTTTTATAGTTCAATACAGGAGCAACCAAAATAGGGGACAGTTGACTTGGAGCAACATGTCCCAGACTCCTAATTTTTTATAATTCAAAAGGAATAAAAATGTATTTTCTGATCCAAATTTACCAAGTTATTTCAGATGCATGGAGAAATTAATTCTGTTTAACAATTGGGGGAAGAGGAATTATTGGTTTGAAATGAGGGCCCCTTGTGGATCAACTGCCCCAGGCCCCTGGTTTCCTCTGGGTGCCCCTGGTTCAAATCAAAATGTAGATTTCCACATTATTCTTCCAATACGTTTCATTTAATATATGAGAAAATACCAACATCAGTCTATATTCTTTTAGAAACTGCAGATTTTTCTGTTAATAATAATGCACTTAAAATGTTGTTAATATTTTTAAAATGTCATTTTACTTTTTGGTAATTATTTGGAAAGTGGGCTAACAGATTGTTTAGACCGAAAATTATCATAACGTTACTGGAATAAAACACATCCTACTTAAGTGGTTTTGTAGCACTTGAGAGTTTGAAAGAAAACCGAGTTCTAGGTATTCTTCAGTACACTAGAACTCCGGTAATCCGAATTAATTGGGGGTGTAGTCTGATCGAATTCGGAAATGTTGGAATTATCCGAATAAATGTACCATTCATAAACAAATACATCTATAAGATTACCAGATGCAACAAAATGTAGCGTGCGTTGCAAGAAAACGGCAATCCAGTGCTACGATAACATCATTACATCGCATCATCAAGCAGATTCAGTTCCTTATGACAAAAGACGGTACCAATTTCTACATAAACATGTGATATACATTTGAGTGACAAGTGCAATAAACGTTTTCATTTTGGCAATTAGTGTTTCAATAATTAATTGTTCAGTTCTAGACAATATAAAATCCTTTCTTTACACTCTTTACTTTTCACAGCATTTTATTAATTTTATTTTTCCTCCTTCCCGAATTTTTTTTCGATTAGTGAGATTGTACTCTATAACACAATATTCTTATTCATGTCTATTTGCAATCTTCTTTTATCACAGATTCAGCATCCCGAGATCCACTTCCAAAAGGAGAGAAAGAATTATGCATTCTGATAAAGTAAATGTCACTTAAAATGAAAAAGGGATTGCGAGTAATATCATAAGGATGAGATAAAAACATTTTTTTGTTTTTAAACATTTACTTTTGATATTTATCAGCTCCAACTTCAATAATATATTACATAAATTTGACATACACATTGTACACTGTAAAGTTTATAAAATAAACTTTTAAAAAGATGTTCAATTCAACAGCTTTTCTGAAAATAAAGTGATTTTTAAAATTATCACAAAAAATAGCCAAAAATTACTCTTTGATTCCTTCAAAACAGAAATACATAAAATCATACAGTAAACAGATCTGACAAGGTACCACATAATATTTACTCACTGGTCATGGAATATTACTATTTACTTCTTCTCACGAGCCCCAAATATCAAGCTCCCAACCCTTACATTGGTACTGCCCATTTCAATCTGAAAACAGAAAATTCGGTAATCATTTGAGATATGATAATGTAAATTAAACATTCATAGAAATCAAGGGTTCCCAACAGGGTCAGTATAGACCCCCTGGGGCTCTATGAAATTATGAACGTGGTCAACGATGATCAAGTGTTGAATTGGGGTCAATAGTCAGATATGCACCGGTGCCTGATCAGTATATTCATGATCCCATTCAACTTAATTGTTTTCCAGATACAAAACAAAAAAATACTATAATAATAAATTACAAATTCACTCCTCTTCTTTCATATCTGTAATTTAATCTAGGATTTAGAATGTTTTGAAAACGTAAGAAATTACAACTATGCATTCACAAAGATACTGTATCAAGCAAGAAAATACTCTCGGCAATACGCATTGCAGAAATGTTATAACCAGTTCTTAAAAACCAAACATTGCATTAAAATGACGTTTAGTAACTTTTGATACTGAAAAGCAGTAGCTTCTTTGATTATTGAAAATTGAAATATTTTCAAGAGTATTATTGTACAAAATTAATATATTTAAAGCATTTATCTGCAATTCAATGTATACTGTTTCTTATAGAGAAAACGTAAGGGGTCAATGAAGCAAACAATTATCTTAAAAGGTGTCAATGGAAGAAAAAGGTTGTGAATCCCTGATATAGATAATATTCTCCAGATTCATATCTCTTAATCTAATTAGTTAGAAAAAACAGCAGCAGAAAGTGAGAGTTCAGTTCTTTTCCCTTACATTTCAAGAAAAGCGTTGAATTTTTAAACAAAATTACTCATTTATATTCTGTTGTTTGTATTTTCTTTCTGTTCTGTTACTGCCCATTGGGGTCACTAATAATGTAGTAGTGACCTTTTAAATAAAGCAAATTAAAAAATAAGTAAAAAGTTTCTAGGATTTTTAGAAAAAAATGTAGCTGTATGCAATTTTTTTAGAAATGTAATCATTTAAATAGTAGAATTATGATGAAAATTATTTAGGTACACCATGAGTGAAACTTAATAAATTAAACATACTTTCATTTGAACACACAACAATTCTGTGAATTAAAAAATATTTGGAGTGCTTTGAAGGAATGATTCTCAAATCATTGTTTTCAAACTGAATACAACAAAAATGTGAAGTCTGATATCTGGATCACAACGTACTAGTTACGAATAGATTAAATATCATGGAAACATTATGAAACAAGTATTCTTAACTTCTGCAGCACATTCCTTATCAACATTAAAATATGATGAATGCATGGACATAAAAGGTAAAAATAAGTTTTCAATTTTCATTCTCTGGCCCTCTCAAATTTTTTCTAGGATTACTGCAGATTACTATAAATAATCAGGAATACTCAGAAGAGTTTCCAAACATTTAGTTGAAACAAGAAAAACAATATATACTTACTGCATGCTCAAAATCATCTGACATTCCCATTGAGAGTTCCATAGTTTCTTCTGATCTATTTAAAGCTTCACTTACATCTTTTCTGACTTCCTTTAAAGTCTGCAAATAAAAATAAATATACATGTAGAAACATACACCTTGATCTGGGCTGTCCAGGTGACGCCGCTTCGATGGATGAGGTGCCGACGTTTCGACCGACATATCGCGGGCCTCTTCAGGGCTGTACTTGCAAGAACCGCGGAAGCCAACGACCTCAATTAAACATACACCTTTTCACAAAATGTTTATTCAAATTTAAACATAATGAAATTCACATTGATTTGCCCTCTAAACTACACAAAACAAAACACTGCAAAAAGGTGGAAAGCATAACCTCTTGAACACAGCAAAAATCATCAACAATGAACTGAAACCTCAATACAAATTATGAAGTGTATGAATGTGTGCTTTTGTAATCATAAAATCTTAATAAGAAATATTAAGATATGAATTGATTTTTTAACTGAAACAGTATTGAGATTATCTCAAAACTAATTGTAAGAATTACATACTTACAATAAAATCTGGATTTGGACCCAAACTGACATCATAGCCATACATCCCAATAGTCATTAAACCAACAAATTCTAGGTTTGGACAATTGTTTAAAACATGTTCAACTACTTTTTTTGCACAGTCGGTAGAGCAGCCACTTTTACCTAAAATTGTATTAACACATAAGGCTTACAATGAACAATCGCAGTAACACAAAAATGTTCCACAAAAAGAGATTTACGTTAGTCAAAATACATATTTATTGAAATTCAAAGAGAAAGAGTTATAATATTTATATTATTTGGAAGAAAGGCTTCAACTTCAAATCAATTTATAATTGAACTGCATACAAGTTCCAAAACTGGCATAAGCAAAACAAGTTAAAATATCAATTTGTCTTATCTAAAGGGAAGTTCTGTAAATTAGGGACATCAAGACTCGCATTGAAAACATCTTTGAATTACATGTAGAAATGTACAGAAAGATGATTTATTTCTTATCCAGAAGTGTTTCCTGAAATCTCTGAGCAAATAATGTAGTAACTTATGGATCGAGTACAATACCTTCTTCCTTGCTGGTATTCACTTGCACCATTATTTTTAAATTATAGTCTTTTCCAAGTTTTCCCCAATTCTGATTTACAGTTGTTGCAAGCTTTTCAGAATCAACTGTTTCTATCATATGGAGATTAGGCACTGACAGTACTTTTGACACCTTATTGCTCTGCAAGTGCCCAATGAAATGCCATTTTATATCAGGGCACCTCTCCAAAATCTAGATCAAAAGGACACAAAGTGGAATATGTGAATTATGGTAAATACATCAAAAAATTCAACTACATTAAACAACAATATCATCATTAATACTTTCATAATTTAAAAAGAAAAGAGGAGGATATTTTGCTTTATATAATGTGGTTTTTACCAGATGAATTGGCTTGGCATGAGCACCTGAATGAAAAGATACACAGCTTTTTCAGTAATTCTTGAAAAGAAATGGGTCAGAAGAGTTAACATGAATTCTTAAAAGATAATTTCAAAGCATTTAATTTTTTTTTCATTAATCAGAAATAAAAATACATTTCAAAAACAAAATATTTTATTTATAAAATTTAATTGGTATTAATTGATGATCACGTCTGGAATATTAATATAGAAAATCTTTGCAAAATTTGTTTCTGATATAAAAATGGGCTCTTTAAAAATAATTAACATTAAACACATGTTGATTCAATTATCAACTGATGCTGTGTTGCCTCTAAAACGAAGTCAAGTGAATTCAAGTCAACACACACATTTTTCCGCAGGATTTAGAATTTCTTCTACTTTTTCAAATTAGAAAAATATTAATTAATCAAAATATTTTAAAATACAGAAACTTTTCTCATGGAATTTGCCACAACAAACATATAGTTGTGTTAAAAGCACTGGGGTCGGGTGATTGCAATCATGTTTCTTTAATAATTCAAAGTTAAGCCCTTCTCAACTGTTTAATTATTTTAAAAAAAATGAATTAAAAAGTTAAAATACTTCCAAAGCTCTCAGAACATAACTGTTTGAAACTTTTGTCATTTCAAGACATTAAAAAATGAATGCCTCTGCCAGAGAAAGAATAAATGTTGGCCATGGTATAATTCTAATTGTAATTTGAATAATACCAACAGCAATTGCTTCTAAATACTGATGAAAAGTTTAAAAAATAATTGAATCCACAAGTACAAAGAAGTTAAATGTATTTTCAATAATTTTCTTTGCAATAGTACCTAGTTACTATGAAACATAATTATAAAATGAGATTACCTCTGGATCACTTCCTTTCTCTGCAAGTTCCTGAACATAGTTCTCTCCAAAATGTCTCTGGCCAGCATCATATGCAGCAATCACAAGTTCCTTTGGCTTTGTCTTTGAAACTGCAACTAATCTGGGTTCAGAGTGTGGTTTCTGAAATTTTGTGACAAGCAAAGCATCTGATTAAACTCTTCTCTGAATTCACTACTGAAACATCCATATTCATCATGTATTTGTCACCATGTTTGGTATGAAAAATAATGTGAAGAAAAACAGAAATGATTTCATGATTTCAGATTGCACGCACTAATGAATATTTGAACATTATGTAGCAATACATTTACAGCATTTATAAATGTTCTGAAATAAACTCAAAACAACACAAATCTTTTAATTTAAAATTCAATTAACCAATTTAAAACTGGAGATAAAATTTCTATACTTGACATCTGTCAACACATATCCCACATCAAGATACCGTTCTATTAAACAGAGTTTCACTTCCCCATTTGAATTATTACATTTCAGAAATGATTTCAATGGAGGTTTCACTGACTTTAAAATTTGCAGAAACAAAATGAAGTAGAGTGGTAGTATCTACAATAAAATTATATGCAGTTTTATTAGTACTTCTATATATAACTTTTAATTTTTTTGTATTATATATAATTCTTTTATAAATACAAAAAATAAAAAGTAAAAAATTATAAAAAGTGTTTAAATCATTATTTTTATCCAACTGCTGAACAAATCATTACTTTTTGTAAGGTAGAAGTAAGCCTTGTAAGTATGAAATCCAAATCAGATCTAAGAGACAACACTGCTAATATCACCCAAAGTAGGAATTAATAATTTGAAAAAGAACAGTTTTGTTGTCTTCTCAGACTTTGCTTTTTAATGCCTGAAGGAACTTCAAACAATTCGATGTAACCCTGCAAAAGTACATTTTAAAAGAAACAATGACCACATCCCAAGAGCCATGAACCAGAAACCACTCCAGCGAAGTGCAGGAAGTGAAAATACCAAAGAAGGTTAAAGACTTCTATAAGGCTTCCTAAAATTTTAGATAAAGTATCGAAATATCGCAGACGTCATTATTAATTTGCCGATGTATAATAGCATTCATCGACATGAAATTGCTTAAAAGTTGTTTAAAGAAAAGGTGAGGTTATATTTGCTTAAATACTTATCAGATGTTTTTAACCCGTACACAAAACATAACACGACGTAAGTGGCTTACATAAATGTGTCCATAAACGCTGTACTTACATAACTTAACTTTTGAACGGCATTTTCCAATTTTCCACGGACATCAGCCAGCCCTCGAATCACATCTTCACCTGCCATAATGGAAAGGCACCTCTTCAAGATGCCTATCATGAAAACTAAGAGAAAATTCGAGCAAAATCGGAATAAAAGTTACACATTATAAAGCAAAATGTAATGCTCTTACATCTTCTTACGTAATATAAGTAATACCTCAAACTCTAAGATTTCACTCTTATCAGCGTCATGTTTTGATGCAAGCGTTGGCGAGAGTGGCGCAAAGTGCATGAACTGTACACGACGGTCACTATTCTCTTAATTTTTTTATGAAATCGCTACTCATGCATTGAGAAAAGAAATATGTGTACAAAAATGAACTTACGAATTAAGAGAAGTAAAGACATGTCAAATGCACCATATACTCTTTAGGTCGCAACAGGAAGAATTTTCAAAGTGGGCGCAATTTCTTTACGTTTCCTATAGGCTACGTCAAGACCAATTGCAGAGCCCATGTTAAAAGCGCAACGTTTAAGTCTTTATTTGGAAATGGCAAAAAAAGTCATACATTTAAAATCATGTGGTAAGCACGTCAAATAATTTGTGTGTAACGTAATAAATTTGACTTTGCAGAGTTTACAACTGTCGTGTAAGTATCCGGTAATTGTTTTTTTATGGAAATGGGCACCATTTTTACGCATCTTATGTCATACTCAACCTCATGAATTGTAAAAATGAAATGTGGATTGATTAACTTAATAGAATTGGTATGATTTTTCAAGCACTTGTAACAAATACCCGCAAGCGGATTGGTGTCTTTTTTATGACCTCAAAGGTTTAACGCGTTTTAGACGCTTCACTACGCCTATCCGAATTCATGGCGAGGCTCCGGCTTCGGATGAAATATAGAACATTATATCTATAAAAAGTATTTTATTCAAAAGTATTTTTTTGCAGAACACTTGTCACGCCCGACGCTTGCTACCGAAGTTTGTTTTTCTGTTCCAATTTATTACAACGCTCTATTACAGACCCCTATCGAAGGTTTGGAAAAATCCTGGGGAGATGGGATCGAAGATTTTGTTAAATAATAAACATATTTGTAATTAAATTATATTTTATTTATGTTCTGTAGATATACTACACAATATGTTTAAACAATTACAAAATTCGAGCATTCAAGTAATAATTTTGCCAAAGATAGGAGGGTACACGAAAACTCTAGTCCTTTTTCGGGGGAGGGAGCATGGCCCCCATGCCCCCCGTGAATCCGCTAGTGTACCACTTCAACCGTTCAACAGAAGAATCACTTGACAAATTCGTGATCAAGGGACTTCCATTCAAATATGACCCTCAATGCAATCTGACGAAACTTGACAGACTTGAAGGCAGCCGTTCACGGTGATGTAACCACGAGGCGATGGCGGAATAGACAAGCATTAGGAATTTACACTACGGTGAAAAGCAAACAATACATGACAGAAATGTAAAGCAGAACAAAATACATTGACTACTGTAGGATCAGACTCGAAAACTACACCACAGACAAAATTCCATAGGGGATAAACTGTCGAAAGCTTCATCACAACAAGCCTACTAAAAGATCGACGATTTGCGCCCTCTGCACTTCACCTCACCCCTCTGAACAATGTCCCTCCCAAACCCAAATAGACTCATTCTTAACACGGAAATGTGCAACCGGCTCCCTGAACCAACCTGCCAATGACTCATATTAGAGACCGGAAAAATATGATATGTCAAAGTACGTAACATAAATATTTAATGAAAACAGTAAGAATATGTAATAAATAAGTAAAATTGGCTATAATATGTAATATTAAGATTCCCTAATGATAAAACCCATTCACATAACACAAACACATTTACAAAAAAATTCCAAACTATTTCCATTTCATTGTACGTTCAACGTCGGCAATCGCCAATCTTTCTGGGAATATAAGGTAAAAGGTCACATTCGCGGCGTCAGTGATACTTTTCACACCAAACGGTGAAAAATATTTCAGTCGCAGACACGCACTTCCTGCCACTGAGATAACTGAAGCAGGCACGCCGGTCTGTGAGAACATCACGCGTCTTCATATAGGACACCTGGAGTTGGCAGCACACAGTAATAATATAGGAAAAAATGCTGATTTTATTCAAATACTTTTCATAAAAATACGTAATAAAATTGATAGAATAAAAAAATATTTTGTGTAAATACCAAAATATGTAAAGAAAATTGGATATTGTATTAGGAAGGTGACGATTTGCCAAGATAAAAAATTTGAGATCAGTAAGAAGCAAGACAAGACATATGTAATTACACAAAAATATTGCCTCAATTTGTCATGTTCTTACACAATTCCAGCCAAACCCCACTGCCAACTGAAAAAAATCCACACCACCTCTCCCCCAAGCATCTCACATCAAACCTTTCCTCTTTTAAAACCTCAACCCTCCTCATTACACCTCGCTACTGGCCCATCCCAGTCACAAACTCCCCAATCCACAGCCCAAGATCTTAAAGAACTTTTCACAATTCTTCAAAACACCAGCTTTCAGAAACTCCCCACCATCTTAAAAGTCCCCGAGGACATAATCACAAAATGACATCAAGCTGATTGAAATCACGAATTAAAATGCCCCCCACTTCACATCCTAACCTGCCCTCGTGGAATACTCAAGGACACATGAACTAGAAAACCCCCTCCTTTCCCAGTTCTTACATGACTACTCTTCCGCGATCTTTTTATTACAGGAGACATGGTTGAAACCCAACATATCCTCCATCCCAAACTATAACATCATAAGATTCAATAGAACCACTTCCACAGGAGGCAGCACTGCTATCCTGACCGGACACTGCATCCCACATACCTACCACACAGAAGCTGAAAACTATATCAACTTCTCCTTCCATGAATGTATTGTGGTACTTATTGGAATAACCCCAAATACAATCCCTAACCCTGACCTTGACATCCTACTCAATATCCCTTACTCTTTCATCACAGCTGGCAACCTCTGTAGCGAAGCAACAGAATTAGATTGAGAATTGAAAACTTCCGAAACCAAAATTCCCAAATCCATCTTAGAAGTCCACCAAAATCCACAATGTCAACCCATATGACATCCACTACTCTGAACTCCAAATAACCATCACAAATCTGAATTTTGACCTATATGACATTTCTGACCATCTGCCAATAGTTACAACCTGCTGTTCAACTTCCTATTAGACACTACCAAAACCAATTATTTAGTTGGGAAAGTAAGATATCTTGATAATTTAAAATATATGACTCTATAATTCTTTTCCCTTAAAACTTTACAAAAAATGCATTTTGTAAAAATTTTTTATTATACCAGAGTATTGAATCAACATATTTATAAATCAGATAAATTAAATACACATAAAAATAAATTAAGATAACATATATATTTATCCAATTGTTTCAAAATAGATTTACAAGTAGTTAAAAATTATACAGATCATAAACAGGTACATACATCCAAAGGAAATAAAGGCACCAAGTGCCATTGAGCACTAATAACCAATATTGTACCACAGCCGATAAATCCATAGGCCTCTGATGTTCTGTGCTTAGTAAGTGCATACTTAATAAAAGAAGGATGATAACATGGTTCCATTGTACATAAAAGTATGAAAATCTGACAAGATATTTCATTCTCCATTTCAGATGTGAAGGTACAATTAAGACTTCAGTTAACTTACAGATCATTTATAATAATTTTCATGCTTTCCATATCACATGAAGAACAGCTCTACATCACTGAAGTAGCAAATATTTAGCCACAACAATTACATGGAAAAGACTTAACAAAATTGGGAAATGTAACCACCTACACGTAAATGCTCCAAAGAAAGCATTTTGGAAATGCCCAGAGATCAGCTGTCAAGAAAATATTGAATTCTCTGAAGATAAATGTCTCCCTACTGCTGCATTGGGGCCATTCAAAAAATATGTTTGCAAAATTATTTAACTCTCAACACCCCCCCCCCAGAAGAATATTCCCTGTCACACCCTCTCTCATCCCACTTCCTGAGTAAAACAAATGTGATGTCATTAATAATTAAGTAGAATTTCACAAATATTTCAAACAATTTTTCAACCTTAATCAAAAAGTTAGACATTTGATTAATTTTAACATTAATTTCTATAATTAAGTTAATAATACAATAATTATCACACAAACATTGCACAGACATTCATTTTTCATCAGTCCATCTCCACTCCCCCTACTCTCTTGGTTTAGCCACATTTGTGAGCATTCCCTCCTTTCTCTCTCCCTAAAAACACATGTACTTTTTGAATGGTCCCGATCTAAATACTCAACTGGTCTAATACTGCCACAGAGATATCTAGTTTCGTCTATTAAATTTTGAACAATTGTCAGAAAATCCATGCCTAACAGATCAATTGTTAAAAAATTCCAGGAAATAAAAAAAGGGTAGGGGGCCAAAACCTGAAATGCAAAGAAAGCCAGCAATGACAAAGGAGAAGATCACCCTGTAAGTTCATTTGGAAATTTCCAACTTTTAATTTTTAAATTTTTATGACATTTTTGAAAATTCTAGTGGCTACTGATTCTTTTTTGAGAAAAGATACAGATAACCTTACAGGAACACATCTTGTAATTTTTTAAATATTTCTAACAGTGCAAACATTCAAGAAAGCTGCTTTTAGTTGGACGGTCAATTTTACACTATGTGTACTATCACACAAATACAATATACACAGTTAAATTTTATTCAATTACTGTATTTCATATTTAAGGTCAACATGTAGAGGGAAAAAAAACTTGTACGATGAGATGATGTTTTGTGCAAAGCTCAGAAAATTACTGTCAGAATAAAACATTTATTATTTAAGAAAGAGCTTTGAATAATTAATGCACACCTGACAGAAACATGGGTCAATAATTTAACATGTAATACACTTCTTTTGATACAGAGGCAGATATTTTTCACATTCAGAGCAAATAATTTTTTAACTGATTATTCACTCATGTAACAATCTTTAAAGGCAGAAAAATCTACCATGTACTATGAATCTACATTTGATACTATTTGCTGAAATCTGCATAAAACATTTTAACAAATCAAAAGGAAGATAACTATTCTTCCACTAAAATTTTTTGAAAAAGAAACCAACAACTTTCATGACACTATACCTTTATGAAGACAGCAACCAAACCTGAAGGAATCACACATTAATTGCAAGTTATTTTACCATGCCAATAACATATATATAATCTTTTCAAATCACATCACCTGAGCTTATAGAAAATAATTCGAAAAAGTGCAATAAATCCAGAAAAATGTTCTTAATAATTCATTTTTTCCATTATTTAGCTATATATAAAACTCAAACTATAGCCTTCTACCTCAGAAACATTGACTCTGTTAATGATTCTGAAATGACATGTTAAATTGAAGTAGATGAAGATAAACCTTTCAAAAATAATTTACTTCAATTTATTTAAAAAAATGTTTTTGAGATGTTTTTATTGTATTTAACTCAAATGAAAAAGCTCAGCAAATGAATATTTTTTCATCATAAACCTAAAAATGCTTTTTGACTATCAAAAATGATTATATTGAGCATAAAATAAAAATGTTAAAGCATTGGAGATATTCCGAAAGCAGATCAAATGCTCGACATACAGTCAGTAGAATGTTTCATATCCAATGGGATGACTTCAAAATTCGAAACCAAAATATAATGAACACTTCTAGGTACCACTGAAAGGTCAATTTTGAAATAGTTTGACTTATTTGACTAAATTAATTCTCTGAGAAACACTTTTATAAACACTAGAAGACCTTTCTTAACACCACTACAATTCTAGATTTATTGGAGTACCAATAAGGGATCTCAAGATTTGCGAGTTAGGCTCCTCAATATCAAACACAGAACTGCTCATTTAATCTTTAGTTAGCTCATTCCCAATTAAACATAGATTCCAATCATGGTCAGTAGTCAATCAATAATCATTCTAACTGAGGAGCCATAACAGAACTCACAGGTGTTCAAAAATTCCAACAGCACTGATTACATGTTTTAGGCCTTCACTTAACTTTGATGAAACATTTTATTTAATAATTGCCATAAAGAAAGCTCTAACATGAAAGACAGAGTTCCTGGGTTAAACTAACATCCAGTCAATTGTTCTTTTGTTGTCCAAATGTCGAGTTTACAATCATTTCTTGCCATCTCTAATAATATTTGAATGGATATGCAATACATTTGTGATGTTTATGAATAAAAATTTCACAGAATCACTTATCTTTGGAGAAAGTATACACAAACTTGACACAATGCTACTAGACAAAAGGTACTTTAAAAAAAATTTGGACCCCGAGGCAAATTATTTTCAAAACATTATTTTCTACTCCTTAACAATGTCTTCTGAAATTCAACAGCAAGCAGCAGTAATCAAAAGGCATATAATACACTCATATCCTTCAATGGATATTTTAAACCATAAATAAAATTGTTGGTAAGCAAACTAAAATGTAATAATAGTTAGAGCAATACGAAAAACATAGTGAATACAAAATGTGAACTTAACGCTACAACTGTTTGCTACATTGTGTAGGATCTGCTGACATAAAATGTTTTTTAATATTCAGAAAAAACATGATAGAAACAACATGGTGCCAACTATCACAATTTATATTTTTGATAAAGGGTAACGATACTTCTAAACAAAATTTGGACCTTGAGACAAATTATATTCAAAACATGAATTGAAGTCTTGAAACCTTGTTTTCTTGACACTATTGCCTCACTGAACACTAGGTACATAGACAAATACATTTCCGGTCATTTCAATCACAAAATGCCAATCTATGCATGCCCATACTGCTGAGTTTACCAAGTCTTGCATAGCAAGTAGTCATTTGGAAATGATATCGTAATTGATAGTTTCAAGGCTGAATAAACCTTTGATCTGATCACTGTTTTTGTTTACGGCTAAGGCTTGAGCTTAACTACAGGGAAAATAAAGCTGAAAGGCAATTATTGAAAATATTTTATATTTTCTGAAAGGAATATATACATTTATTTTTTCAGCATGATGGAGAAAATTGGAGTCCAAGTTACATTTATGAATGATGACTCGGTCATTACCGAGTAATGACTCAGTCATTACCGAGTAATGACTCGGTCATTACAGAGTCAAATATAATAAAAGAAGCAAAAGCCAGAAACTTCCAGTGGCCACTCATTTAGAACTTCAAGATATTGGATAATGCGTAGAATTGAGTTGTTCCTTACAAAATGGCTGCAAGACATCTTTTTCAGAAGATCTCCAAAGGATCTTTGGATTAATAGACACAGCATTTGGAAAATACTGAGGTAGAAGTGAAGGAACATTGTAGGAGCAGTTAAAGATAGAAAATAAAACAAGTAGATTCTTAAGGAAAAGTTTCTACTGATACCTAGTTGGGGAAACATCTAGAAGAACAATGATAGATGTAATCGAAAAGTGATGTAGCTCTAATTTCTATTATCCGCACTTTTGGCCATTGTCAAATAAACGTATAAATATCTTAATTTTGAAAATACCTTAGTCCTAAATATAATTATAAATGGGTTTCCTACAGGAAAGATAATTTCTTTTTTCTTTCAACAGTTATATGCAAAAGTTAAGGTTGAATGTCATACACCACTTTTCTCAAATTAAACATCAATTTTTCTTATTTATCAGAACTTGTCTTATTTTGATCTGTACCTCTAAACATACAAGTTAACAGGCACTCTCATTAAATTAAAAAACATTTTCCTGATTCTATTTCCATGCAACATGTATGTATAGGATCTAACATGAAAACAGCTGAATCATATGTTTGTAACCTAGAAAATAGTGCAGAATGTGCATGGCAGAGAAATCATTAAAGAAGTATCATATGTAAATATCATTTACTTTGTGATAATCATAAATGATAAATATCTTTTTAGACTTTTAATATTTAAAACAAATGCCTTTACTTAAAAAAATAATTATCAATCTCCTATGAATGCGTCAATCGCAATTAATGAAAAAAACAAATCAATAAGGTATTCTGAAGGCTCATTTATTTTGTCATACTGCTTGCTTTGCTGATTGAAATCACAAGACTGAAGCTGGAGAAAATTTTAATTGTGGTAACCAAGAACAAATAAGAAGGCTATTACAACTTTCTGCAGGGTTCCTCATAGACTTTAGTCAACAAGGCTTTGGTGAGAAAATAAATTATTTAAAAAAATTAACAAAGAAATGGAGCAACATCTTCATTACAAAGCAGAGATAATTGGTCCCTCAGCCTTTTTAGATGCCATTGGTTGCAAAATATCCTATATGATGCATTGTTGCAAGTAAGGTACACTCCTCAAACTTTCCTCTGTTACTACAGTAAAAAATGTACTTTTATGGAAATAACTTATTGTTCTCTTTTCATCAAATTCTCTTTTCTAATGATTTACTTACATTTGAAATCCAGTCTTGAAAAACACTGTTTTTGTATAAAATATAAACAGAAAAAATGAAATGAAACTGTGAAAATTTGAAGATCAATAATGCAAAATCACCAACAATTAAAATTATTACAAAAATATTATTCGATGTTGAATACAAAAAACCATAACAATCTCTACAACAATATCTCCACAAATTTCACTATGCCCTTTCCAGATGAGTTTCTCTTTTCTTCCCATAGTGAAGTCCTGGAAGCATTTTTTGTGTCTTGTCTTCTAACAAAACAACAGCACTGATCCAGAGTGAATACTCATTGTTTTGGACTCATAGCATTTTCTTCCCTATGCTATTGATTACCTATAATCCATTTATATTTATTAATCTTATTGTACACTTCTCTTACACTTTCTTCACTATCTCTTGATTCAGATAAATAATACAGCTTCACATTCTCCTCAACGTGACACTCAAGGACACCCCATCGTTCAAAAAGCTTTAAGGAATTCTTTATGGGATCCACTGACAAACTCTCTCCTGTAAAGTAATACATGAAGAATTAGTAAAGGCCTTAAAAATTAAAAAAAGATTTTTATAAGAAACAGTACAATGTATTAATTGATTATTAATATTTACTAAAAACTAGGCCATTGAAGACACAAGTCGCATTAAATACTAATGCTATAAAGGCCATAAACTAATTCCTTTAATTTATCCATTATATTCCATTCAAAAATTTCACAATATGTCTTTGGATCTTCATCTAATTTTAATGACTAATCATGTCATTAAATCACTCACCCAATATAATAAATATTTCTTTTTTGAAGTAGTTTGTTCACACAAATTAAGTTGTAAATATACATTAACTCCTAGTGAAAAAATCATCACAACAATACAATGAGCGTAAAGGGAAGAAGAGAATGAGGAATAAAGAAAGGAGGAAGAGGAGGAGAAATACGATGATGATGAACATCATCGTATCTCAACCTTACCTTACCAAAATCATCATAATTAATGTTAAGTATTAAGGTATTGATTTCTCTTGTTTTTTTAAAATTTTTAAGAATATTTATTTATTTTTTCCTGTCTTTTCTTTTCCCTCAAGGGAGAAGCAGGAATATGCGCTCCCCTGAACATTTACAAACGTTATAGAAGAAAACATACGTGTAATTACTTATTTACAAACAAGATTTGGATGTATACAGCATTGTAGGCTTTCACGGCCGGAGTCAATATTCTTCATGTCTTCCGGGCTTGGCATCCCAGAGCCAATTGGACCACGGCCCATCAGCCCGGAAGACATGAAGAAGATTTGGATGATTTATTATTTACAGCGAGTCTAGCACTAATGATCATTTTTTTATTACCTTATAAACTGAATTGAATTGAATTAATGCCTTATTTTTATGTGGCAAGACTCAGGCCATGAGGCCTGCTCTTCTGTCTTACCACGCAAATTTCGAAATGTTCCTTCCACCAACTGGCAGAGAAACAGGCAATTTCAATTTAGCTCAGAGGCGTCATTTAGGCTTGAGGATCTTTTACATGCAAGTTAATCTACTAACATGGGATAGCTGGCTTTACTTCACCTCCGAATGATTTTTTCGCCCTTAAAAATCAACGGCTTCGATCGGGTTTGAACTCGCCAACTTGGGTACAACAGGCCAGTACATCAACGCCATGCGCAAACAGACCTTATATGTTCTTTGCACTTTTAAATTGTATAGAAAAATATAAGGGAGTTGTTTTTTAGAGTTCTAATTCTACTGCTTCAAATTACTTTGGAAAAAAAGCATTGGGTACAAAAATTGTAAAATGATCTAGAATCACAAATTTCTGAGAGTACCCAGATGTTATTTCACAGTTAACTAAATTTATGCTTAAATATTGGTGATGTAATCAAGGAAGAAGATTACAGAGTATGTAATAAAAATAAATGAATATATGTACAAACCATATTGACATTGTCCACTGTCAAGCTGCACTTTTACTTCAGCTAAGATGTCATGTACCAACTCCTTCTCAGAGCGCGATCGAGATGCTAATCGTTCCAACACACTTGCGCTGGCAGCGTAAGTATCCACTAATGGTCTAAGTAGTCCATGAAGGAAGTCCAGGCGCCGGAGAGCATCTCTCTCAATATTCAGCTACAGAAAATATAAAGGATTTAAATTTTGAGAAAACTAATAATGAAAGAAATTGAGCGTGTTTGCAGAAGGAACCAAGCAACAGAAAACAAAGCATTCTGGTTTAAAATAAATTTTCATTTGATGAGCAATTGCACTTTTGTTCCACTTTATTTTTTCCAGTAATACGATAATGCAGCATTGCAGCTGAGAAATGTAGATCATTAATAATGGCTGTATCAATTATTCTTCAGTTTTCTTTGCCTGATATGTTCCATTTGACAAATATGCCACAAATGGTCTGTGTAATTTAAAATCAAGGTAATAAACAAACACTGAGTAAAGCATGAACTTTTGAACAAGGCTTCCTGAACTTTTTAAAACTAATTATTACTATTTAGTCTAACTAAAATAGGCAAACTATCTAATTGCCTGGAAAATTGTCTTGTTGACAGGCATGTTACAACTTAATATTGCCTGAGGTATCACTATTTTCTTGTTCTTTATAATCTTAATCATGGTTTCTGTGACAACTATCTTCATATATCATTGTTTTTTTTTCTTTTTAGTCTTCCCCCTGCACAGTCACATCCTCTGCCTTTTAAATATCAGTATTGCATGAAAACATGTTCTCACTGTTAAGTATGTAAGTCAGTTTTAAGAAAAATTACAGATTCATAAATAAATAGGCAAGATTCCAGGGTTAATGAAGGGAAGTTTGCAGGAATTACATGGTTGGCGTTTAATTTTTTCTGCAATCTAAAAGTTTGGGTACTATAGGTTGAGACTCCTCAGAATATTACACTTACTTAGGGCACAAATGTACATTTGTAAAATACACACAATGCCCTGCGAGAAAGGTGTACAGAATTTAAAAGAATTTCTTCAGAATCACAAGATTTTCTTCCTTTCGAGCTCTTCTTCGTGGCCTCAGGGTATTTAACGTGACTTGAGAAATTCACATCATTTAATGTTCCAAGATCGAGTTGAGAACTGCAAACGTGTACAACTCTGTACCTCTATTTCGTGAGTATCACGGGAGAGGGTAACTAGCTACCAAGCTCAAGAAGTTTTTCCTAAGAAAATATTTTTTATTATTCTGCCTCTGATGTAGTATGTAGAAAGTATACTTCTATCAATGAGATTTTTCGTTTCGTTTCTTGCAAAATGCAGATTTGCTCTCGCAAGGCATCAAATCAAGATTTGCACACTCGTCAACACATTGTACATCAAAATTTCAGTAATGATTTTTATTCATTTTCATGGTGTGTTTCACTAACTACAAATGCTGTTTTTTAGAGATTTTCTCTTTATTGGCCTATTCAAAACTTCTGGTATGAATTGCCTGGCAAATTCCTGGTGGATGCCAACAATATGTCTGCGAATATAATTAGATATGTAGATATGTGTGACATTTATTACCTTTGCAGCTTACAGTTTCATCAGCATTGGTGTTTCTTCTAGGAATGGAAAGGTAGTGTAAAAATATAAATCCTAAAAATGCTTAATTTACTAATGTAAAATGGCCTAGGATTTTTCAACTGAAAAATTTATGTAATCTCTCTTCTTATATTCGGGTAAATATGAAATTTCTGGAAAAACTACCATCTCAAAATGTAAAACAATACAAGTACTGAAAAACAACCGTAAAACTTTGAAAATGTTTTCTAGAGATAGTATTGCAAAATAAACTTCATTATGAAAAAACTCAATAATATATTTGTAGGAGAAAGACAAAAATGTTGATTTCAATTTTCTGATGATATATAGTTTCCTCAAAAACTAAAAGGTCTGTTCCAAATTTGCAAGGTCTCAAGTTTCACCTAATCGACTGAAGAATTTCCATTTAGGAAAAAAATACAGAATTTAGCTATGGGCTAAAGTATTGAGTATTTTGTACAAAGAAAAGGATAGATAAACAAATTTTCTGAAAACCTAGTGCTGCTACAACAACAAATTATCTGCAATGATTACGTAATATTATAATATTGCAATTTGTATTTTACTAATTCTTCTCTTGAAAAAATATCTTCATCGAAAGAACTTTGGGAGATCTCTTTGCAATCTTCACGAAAAAAAACTTAAGTTTTGCCCAACCTTCTAATTAGAAAGCAACAACAAAGAACACATACCTACAAGATCGTATGTCTAATAGGTTAAAAAGAATAAAAAATAAAATATCAATCCAGCTAGTGGAAATTACTCATACATACGGTGTATTTGGTCTGTGGTTCAGCATTTGCAAGGTCATCTTCTTCGCTGTCATATTCAAGATAGGAAGGTATTCTCCGTGAGGGACGAATACCTCTTTCGTCATCTGATTCCACTTTTGCCTTCAAAAATTAAAAAAATATAATATAGTGATCAGTCAATTAAATTTTTCCCTGAAATTGAACTTCAAAATATATTTTATTACTAATTTATATAAGTACAAGCTCATTAAAATGGTGAATTTTGTGCTCATATGTGTTCATATACTTCAGAAAATTTTATTGCAGCCAAAAATTGTCCCTAACACTCAACATCTGCCATAAATCATTTATGTTCAGTTAGAGAGAAAAAGATCAAAATAAATATTCCTACTTACTTCATCTAGTAATAGAACATTGGCTGTACATAGGCTGTCTATTCTGTCCATAAGAACAGTTTCCAAATGTTGACAAGGTTTGGTGAAAATGAACTCAAACTGCAGAATGTCACACAACTCATATGCAGCCTCCATGAGGCTCTCTAGCCAAATTGCATGAGCACTACTTTGTTGTCCGGCCTCAGAATGGTACATATCAAATGGAAGTAGAGAGACCAATCCTGTAGCTGAAACATGAGATTGTTAATGCATTAATAATGAAATTCAGAAATAAAAAATATCAAAACTGAAAATATGAAACAGCATTTTTCCAAATCAAATTTCAAAAATTTTCTGAAATAATGTCAAGAAATTGATGACTAGACCTAAAAGTTCCTATTTTAGGCATTCAAAATGTATTAGAATAAATTGTGTTAAACTACAATTTTTTTATTATTAATGATTGAAGTATTAAGAGAAACACAAATACAATTTAATGTTTAAACTTTTTGCACCTAAACCCATTAGTAATACACAGAAAACAATCTTTTAACTTCAATATGTGATACGTGCGTTATTTGAATATTCCCAAAAAACTACAAATTCCCAAAATGAGACTATTAAAAGAGGAAAAGGCACATTTAGATAATAAATGAGGCCCATTAAACAGATCTCGTGTGTTTATAATGCTTTTTAAGTATCTTTATCGGAAGAGTAAAATAGACATTTGCCTAAAAATGCAAGGTCTAATAATGACATAGACCAAAACAATTTTTCAATTGAAGATAAATTTTATTGCAGCACTTCCAACATTCTACTACATTTCAACCGCACATTACATATATTAAGGAAATTTTCAAAAAATAATACTGATAAAAAGTCGCTTTTGAAAAAGAATTCACAATGTATTTTAAAATTGTAAATCATAATTCTATACTCCAAAATGGAAGGACTAAGCTACTCATATTGTGGCTTAACTCTAGATCGCCCAGGAATTCCCAAACCTCATATTACTACCATTGGTGTCAATTCGACTCTTGTGTTTTCAGCCGGTTGCTGCAGTGATAACATACTTGTTTTATTGCTTTCTATTACCAATCAACCTTTTTAATAATTTATAATGTTTATAAATTTTATTTCAATGAGCAATTATAAGCTTGATTTTCTGTTGTTGTTTTTTCAACCTACAACTTATAAGAATATCATCTTAACAACATTCTTCGCAAATAAAATGAACTTTTCATTTTCCTCATACCAACTCCTTACATATTAAGAAAGAACTGAAGAATCTCAAAGGAACTACGATCCCTGCAACACACGTCTTAAAAACTTCTCCATATAATAAATATACTGTATATACAGGAATAATCCTTAAAGACTTTTTTTTGAAAATTGGTAGATGAAAATTGGTATGCAGGTATTTTTCACATTAAGGGTTATTATTTGTTTCAAGAAAGCATTGTAAGCTTTAAGCATGTTAAACACTGTCACATGGCAGCATGGATTAGTACAAAGCATTCGTAGAGGTGCGGTAGATGTTCACCAGTCAGCCAGTATTAATCATAGTTTCTCTTTGCAAGTTCATGCAAGGGATCTTTCACCTCAAAAGGAAAATTATGTATGATAGAAGGACAAATTGGTAACCCTGGAGCAGGAAGTACGATATGGATGAAAGTTGCATGTGTGATTGGCTTCATGAAACTAATGTAAATCTGCAAAGTTTCTGGAAACAGAACTTTTTTTAAAATTTATTTCCGTAAAATGGGGATGTGAGTTTTATTCGAGAGGGGGGGGGGGGGTTCAGGATTATTTAAGTAGTATGGTGATTTTTTTAATAGATGAGCAGACACTTCCCTCAAATAAAGAAACCGGTTGAAAGGACAAAATTTTCAAATACAATTCCCTAATAATTGTGTTTTTTCCCCACCACATACATTAAAAAACTCATTTTCCCCCTACTCATAGAATGAGTTATATCCTCTAATACACAAATAATAAATAAATTAATGTGAATTTTTTTGTAGTATTAAAATTATAGCAAAAATTACATTTTGGAAAAAAACAAAATTAATTATAGTAATATTGTAAACTCCAATTTAAAAAAAATTCCGAGGAAATTTTCATTTATTCAAACCAATTCAAGAACAGAATACTGTTGTAGACATTAAATTTTAAAAATGGATGTTTAAATGGATATAATAAGCAAATTTAACGGGTTTGTTTCTTAAATCATGATTTACAAGTATAGTTTGCACATTGAATTAATCTTCATTTACTCACAAATAAACAGGTAAAATACTTTTACACTAACCCTAGCTGGTGCAAATGACCACAAAAAAAAACACAGAAAGATGATAGAAAAAATACTCCAATGATGACCAAGTAAAACTCACCAGTTATAGAATCCATTACATAAAATGCCAAAACAGTATTACTATAATATGATAGTTCAATCACATTGGGTAACATAATAACAGGAGAAATAAAGATTGTTGGTTCTGGATCCTCCCCTTCAATGGGCAATATCTTCTTCTCTTTTCTAACAAGGCCTGGTCCAAGCAATTCCACCTGAATGCACACAAAAACATATTAGTGGTACAACAATAATCTCATAACAGTTGCAACAAAATATATCAATCTGAATTTGAAACATTCAGATCAACATTATCATTGTTGAAACAACACACAGTGTCTCTTGCCCAGTATTTTCATACCAGATCATAGAAAGTTCACTGTGACTTGTACAATGATACCCAAATACCCATGAGAGTCGCTGTTTAACAAATACAGTTTCCATCACCACCGAACTGAATTCACAAGCAAACAACTTCAAAATGCAATTGTGTGAACAGGGTTGTCGCATGAAATACTTTGTGAATGAACATTTGATTGGGTTTGATCGGTTTCTCATTTCGCAGATTGACGAACTTCATGAGAAAGCTCTAATACAAGTGAAGTGAACATGTTATTTCATACAGGGATTTGTTAAAATTTTGTTTTTACCTTAAACAAAAATTAAACCCTTGCCAGATGAATAACTAGATGTTACTCTTTGAAGTAATATGACAATGCACCCTGTCAGAAGAAGGTATTGTATAAACACTACAATGAAACTCTATTTTTATGTTTTGCCCTTATTTGTTGTTCATCTTTATATGTTGTTTTTTGTATGTCCTGAATAAATTCCTATAATTCACATGTAAAACACTTATCTGAAATAATTTAGCATGTTTTTCATGCTTATAGGTTCATAATGAAAGTTCCTTTAAGACTATATAATGTCTAAATGATAACGACATAGATGACCAATAAGTAAACACATTTACAATATTGTAGAGGAGTCCACAAAATTTTGTGTTGAATTTAGTATTCAGATTGTTTAATTTTGAGGTTATGCAGGGCATTTCAACTCTCCATTTTGGAATATTGGACAAAACTACAGGATGCACAATACGGGCACTAGTGTTGTCTGATGCAACTTTACGTAATGTTCACCAACACTGCACAATAAAAATCTGGCACATTCAAAGGAAATGTTGAAACTCAAGGGAATCAAAGATGTATAATGTTATTTAGGCCTGTGTCACATGAGCATTGCGTTGACACACATCACCCAATATTGATGACATCAGCTGCAACAACGAACATCAGCGAGGAACAAGCATTGGCGATGTGCATTGTGGCATCAAGCCACAACAACATTATGGCAACAATAACCATAAATAACAATATAAGTCCTGATCACTACCCTGTTGAGAATTCATTCATCATCAAACCATTCATACACACTACATGTACACTACAACAATACAGTAGATATCCAACCATTTTGAAAAAAAGTCTACCAATTTCTTTGTGCTTATTTCATAACTCATTAATCAGGAGGTAAAAATAGTGATTTTAAGAACAAAATACGTACAGCATGATTCACAACGTCGATTGATTCACCACAAAAGCCCACATCCCTTTCAGATACCAACAGTTCCTTCCGGAGTTCATCAAGACTTCTGACCAGGTTGCCTAACGTAGTCCCACAACGATGCTTGTTCAATAGGAGAAATGCTATAGCATTAGTAGACATAATACTTGTTGACCTTGTGGCATCTGAAATACACAATACACATCATGATCTAATCTTTTCCTCAACAATTTCTAATAAACATTCACAAACTCAAATTGCCAATTGGTTGATAAAGCAAGAGACAATCACTTACCAAACAGAATATGCCTCGCAATTGACTCCACCAGGAATCTACTCTTATCATCTACATAGTCAGTTCCAAACAGAGATGCACTAGAAGGCACGTGATGCATTTGAGCACCAGATGAAATGGTCATGCTGTTCTTATTTGTATCACTATACATATCATCATTGGACATCAGAACCCGTGGATTTCGCATTATAATTTTTGTGTTAGCCTGGAAGGACTGCACAAGTTCCTACAAAAGATCATACAGTATCCAGAGGTGAACAAACAAATAGGTTTAGTATAGTAAAACACTAAAGCCAAACAATGTCCGTTTAACAAGGCACTTTACTGAAAGCCAATAAAATGGTTTCAATTTAGGTCTTGACCATGACAAATTTAATAGATATTTCATGTATTTACAATTGAAACCTTAGAATTATAATGCAGTTATTATATTTTCAACTAACTTTAATTTATGAAGTTGCAAAAGTAAAGCATATTTCTATTAACAAAGTCTAAAGAACACATGGAAAAACAATTGCCCACAACAACTATACAATACTTATTCAAAATTTTCTGACATCTTGAGACAATAAATGCACAATTTAAAATACATATCTCAAAGATGAAGGTAATTAACATACACAACAAACAGTTAAGTAAGTTGTAGAAACTTACCCTTAGCGAGAAGGGTTGATTAAAATCTATCCTCATCATTCCATAATTTGAATTCAAAACAGACCATATTCCTTTCACAGCACTTCCAAATGTCTCCATTTTCTTTGGTTGACCTAATAGTTCTCGAACAAAGTTGCCATCAACAAGTTTCTCATAATTTACACTAACAGGTACTAAAAGAGCATCTTCAATAGTACCATCCATATATGCATCAACAATAACACTGAGCAAACCACCTGTAAAACAGAAATAACACTATATGAACTGTTATAAGAAGGCAAGCAGCACATGTGGATTAAAAAAAAAAAAATCATCTTGAAATTCTCTGCTTCTAATTAACTTAAATCTGTAATTATAAATATTTCCAAAAATTTTACATACCCTAAGCAAAGAGATGAGAAAAAGAATGAAGGAAAAGAACATTTTTAAAGATACAATGAAATACCTTCTTCCCCCACCCCAAAGAAAATCGTTGAAACATGTGGAAAGAATGGAAGAAAGTAGACTCCCAAAGCTGGTGCTGAAATACCAAGCTATACGCAGAAGTGAGCAAGGAAGATAAAAGGCAATATGGAGACAACAGGAACACTTGGTCTAAGCACCATTCTTCCTGTACAGGTGACAGGACCCAACTAACACCCCCAAAGAGTTCATGATTAGATGATGATTAAATACCTTAGAACTCACCTTTGGGAAGAGATGGTTTGCCAGTTCGTGTTCGGCCTCCTTCGATATAAAATTCCATATTGTGACCAGCTCTTAGGCAGTGTATCATATATGTATGAAGTGCAGCTCGATATACAACATCTTTCTGGCCAGCGACAGGATCCATTCGTCGCTTGATGAAAAATGCACCAAGTCCACGCAATAGCCATCTACAAGAAATTACAAAATCAACAGTATTATTGAAATACATTCTTTAAAAACTCTTTAATTATCAAATGAATTTTCCTTAGGGAAAAATACATTAACATATACATTGTAAAATTCATTTAGGTAAAAAATAAATCTCTAAAACAATTTAAATATTTAAAAAATGAATAAAAATTACTCCCTCTTATGCATCAAACATATTCCAACTTTACCACTCCAAAAAAGTTGACATTATTAAAATTATATCTTTTGGAAATGTACATAATTTTTGGCCTTACCCAAATACGGGGATGGAAAGGTTGTCACCTGCAGCAACCAAAGGTGAACGAATGTTGTTGTTGAGCAAGATGAATGATATGAGAATATAGTCAAGGTGACTGCGATGAAGAGGAAGAAAGATTAAAGGAAGCCCAGTCTCCCCAGCAGCATGCAACATCCGAAGCTGTCCTGGGTGAGCTGCTACACTTGTCAAGAAGCAAGGGAGCAATTTGTACAGTATCCATGATGTCAACCTAGCAAAAAAGAATATTTGTTGAATATCACTGAACAAATAAAGTTATGAAACTCTTTAATTACAAAGTTTATCAAAAAATCTATATTGCATCTGTTGTTTTCTAATGTGAGAAATATAAGTAATATTACCCAACATATTTTCCCCCCTAACTATACACATTCTGCATTCTATTTGCATGATGACAATCTAATATCAACTAATCATTGATTAACTTATAAATGTAATTTATTGGTCATAACTGGAAAATTAAAGCAAAAGGAAACAACATTTACAACCATTTGCAAAAATTGGCAAGATTCAAAATGTTGAAGAATAATTAATTTTATTTGTTTAAATTGCCTTTTGAAAACGTGCAGTTTTTGAAATATCTTTATATCTGACCCGGAATATATATTCCTGTTCTCTACCAAACTACATCTCAGACAATATGTCCATAAAACTTCTTAAGCATTAGAGTTGTATATCTCTGGAAAAGCCTTCCTGAACCCTCCCTAACCAAATCTTCAATTAATCTATTCAAAAACCTCTATGATCACTTTGTAAATAGACGCACTTAACTTAATCATTTTTTTAAATTTATCACTAAAGTGTTGCAATTTTATTATATAAAAAAATAAATAAAGATACTATGTATTTGAGGAGTTTGGTGCAATACCACCCTAAATCTCAAAATATTAAAATTTGATTTACTTATAGTTTCATGCTCTGGAAACACTTCTCTTGCGTCCACACTCCCGAATTAGCTTGTGGCAGCATCTATGAGTATTAGCACGATTTAGAAAAAAGGCGTTCTTCATTAAAAGAAATTTTACCATTCTCTGGGGTAAAAAAGCACCCTAATCATAAAGCGCTTTTTATTGAAAACAACTGAATTCATCGAAAAACTTATAACAATGTTAGACAGTTTTGAAATATTCAATTCCACTTAATATCTGTCCTGTGATTTAAAAAAAGGGTATAATGGTTGTAACATGAACACTTCCCCATTAATCCTTTTATGATCAGTGAGAAGCATGCTTTCCACTTAAAATGAAATTTTATCAATATACACATAAAGAAAAAGGTTAATATTATTAAAACTAGTATGATTAATTACTGTTTTCATTAGTTTTAACAATATTAATCTTGTTTTTTCAATGAGCATTAATAAAATCCCATTTTTATTAATACTCATCCCCTTTAAGATGTTCATTAAGTGGGTGTAGCAAATATTTTAACACAAATCTAGAATTGTGGACAACATTAATGCTTTAAATACATTTTTCTCGAAACTAGCTCAGTGTGTGTTAGGGCAGTATTACCCCTAAATTAGTTTTTCTCTTCAGATAATTAAATGCTGGAAAAAATTAATCAATCATTTAAGTCTATTAGAATATACCTCTACTACAAATTATTTTCTGTTCTTAGTTTCATAATTTTGTTCATTTTATGGTATAATAATAATAATAATAATAATAATAATAATAATAATAATAATAATAATAGTAATAATAATAATAGTAATAATAATAATAGTAATAATAATAATAATAATAATAATAATAATAATAATAATAATAATAATAATATTTATTGAGTCACATATACAATAACAATTGTCTATGACAAGTCAATATGATGACTTGGGTGGAGAGAGCGAAGTTACATTACTGTTTAGGAGCAAAACAAGGGGCCTTCTCAGCATTTGCTCAAGGAACCAGGGAAACTGAACAAAAACCTGATTGAGATGGGAATATCTTTTTATCTTCTCAAAATAGTTCAATTATATGAAATAGTTTATAAGAAATATAACGCACTTAACAACAACTTTGTAATTGATTTAAGTCCTTTTATCACAGTTATTTCTATTTCACAAATATTTAAAATAAAAATATATTATTGAATATTATAAATAATAAATATTGATTTAAATCATTGATTAAAAAAAATAAATAATTTCACTTAAATCATGATTTAAATTATACTAGCCGTACGTATAAATAAAATAAAAATACAATATTTAAAACACTACAGATTTTCATTTATAAAGCAATTTGAGCCTTCTACTGAAACAAATTTTATGATTTTGTTTTAAATGAAAGGTAGAGGGCCCATATTTGCTGTCACTTTATACTACCAAACTATTGTAGAGTAGCTAATAAAATAAATAGAATTAAAATAAAACTTTGTTTGCAACGAATAGCGATTGTATTGTGCCAGAATTTGTTAATCCTCATTTTATCAGCTTTGTAGAATAAGAACAACATAAAACAATAATTTTGGGTTTTTAGATTTTCCTTATAATGCATATGTAACATTTCTTCTGTTTGTGATATTACTGCAATGGTTCAGCTAGTTATTGTAAATTATTACTATAATCTTATCCTAATTATACTGTTAATTTCAAGTTAGTTTGTTGCAAAAGGTCATCTTGATATTAAAAACTTTTCCTAGTAACTTCCTTTACTCACCACTTCATTATCAATAAAATATTCCAAACCACTTACCAAAAAGAAGTAACAATTAAAAACAAAAGAAGGAAAATCGACTAAAATTATTCATAAATTACCTTAATAGAAAATCTGATAAGGTAGACCGCATTTTCATAACAACACGAGTTGCTCTTTCTTCATGCTTCTTGAGAAAGCAATCATAAAGACTGTCTTTGTCTTCTTTCACATCTGCTGCATCCCTCTTGGCAGCTTCCACTACTGCTTGTTGTAACCTCTCATCCCGCAGAACCTGCGATTTTTAATATATACAGGAAATTAGTGGCTCAGCAGAAAAAAAGAACAAATTAAATAAGAGTGGTATTTTTCAATATTTTGGTATTGTGATCGTGTAAAATACACTGCCTGTAAATCAATGACACTTTCAAAATTCACACAATAGAGTTAATCTCTATTTTCTAAATTCATTTTTCTTGCAGAGTCTGAAATAAAAATAAGTTTTAAACTAATCAATTGGAATTCCTAGAAATTTTGAATATTAACATTATAAATAGGACATTGGAAATGTTAATGCTGAAGGTGTGAAACAATGGATTCATATACTTCAGACCGGTATGCTAATTTATAGAATGTATGTTGAACAGTCATATATGGCATCAACAATCAGATCTGAGGAAATGATAATCCTGAAGTCATGCTTAATCATAGTGGACACAATGATATATAAAAGTAAAGTTCTAAAGTTTTCTCCAAGACAGCATAACATACTCAAAACACATGTAAACATAAATTATGAAGAGTGCAGAAATAGAACAACCAGACCATGTTGGCACTTGAAATATAAATACCACATGTTCAATAATCATGGTAAAACTGTTATATAAATCAAGAGGTAAAATAAATATTTTCTAGTTTAGTACACTGGTTTTGGGATTTACACCATTCCAAATTTTAAAAATGCTCTCGTAAAAAGTTTGGAATTGTGGGCCCTGAATATTCTTTCTTTGAACCTTTCAAAAGAGTCAAAAACTTATGATTTTGAGAACTGGCTTGAAGAGAAACTTCTATATAAGGATGTGATCACAATAAAGCAAAGTAAATTTGGATTAAAAATAAAGAAGATGTAAAATTAGTATACTTACAGTAGGTGAAAGTTGAGGATAATCATACTTTTTGAGATTCCACACAGTATTTAGATGGCAGAGTCTACGAGTGAGGAAACCTTTGCCATTCTGAGCATCCACATCCAAAACGTTTTTTAAACTTGTTGTTTTGGAGGCTTCCGTTACAAAGGATATCTGAAATGGATAGTATTCAAATTAAACTTTTCAGTTCAAAACATATCAAGGAAGCCATGAGATTGCCACAATCAAACATTTAAGAGAGGCCATTCCTATTACATTAATGACTAAAATAAAAAATATTTACTATCAATGACAAATTTTATGGAAACCTACTTGATTGAAATGCCTCTAGAAGAGTAAAATGAAATTAATTGTAATTCACACACCTATCTGACATGCATATTAAGGATCAACAACTTTCAGAGATGAATAGAAAAAACATAGTTCTTTATGAAAAACTGAAACAAATATTTTGCTCAATTTCACTTCATATTTTAGTTTTTTTGTACATTCAAACATGTATTAAAGACGACAATAGATGCTGTTTTTGGCATAAAAAAGCATAGAGTTTGCATTTGGTTTTCACTATTCCAATCACATAAACCAGCACATGACACACAATTTTGGTGCACCTATTCCATCTAAGAATTAATGGCAAAAAAGGAGTCTCTACTCAATCTATTTAATTACCGGCAAAAGTATAAAATCATTTAGCATAGTGTATCAATGTCATATTATTTCAGCAATCACCAATCAAAAGGATCCAATCCAAATGCTCTTAGAAAATATTGTTCATTTAAGAACAAAGAAAGAGAAAATGATGGTAGGAATGGGAAAATTGAAAAATAAAATATAAATATATTTTTAGAATATTAAGACAAAAGATGTTCAAAGAATACTGATTTTAAATCGTGTTCAGTAATAAATGACTTGGATTTTTTTTAAAATGAGCATAACTAAAATGGAAACAAGGAATTCAATGTACCATCCTCTCAAACTATATTTCCATTTTTTCAGGTATCTACTTATATCTTACTACCAAAAATAAAAATGAATATCTTTAATATGAATTCCAAGCTATTCACAGTTTATTAGAGACATTTTATCCAAAACCATATTTTTGTTTTACAATATTTTTTTGTAACACTATAACAACATATTACTATCAAACTGTAATGAAGATTCTCCGGTAATTCAATTAGAAAAACTTCAAACATCAATGATACTGACCTTCCACAACAATTATCAATGACATTTGTTTTTCTCACTAAAATCAACCCAAAAAATGTGAATACAACTCAAAAAATAAAAGTTAGTATGAATGCATCAGCAATAAACTAATTATGTTAATCTCACAAGCTGCCTACCCTGGGAGAATCATACAAACTTCGCCATGGTGAGTCCATCATTACCATCTCTGCATCACTGGTACAAAAATACTCCTCTGTCCAGATGGGACTTCCAAAATAGCACCCCGCTGCAACAGTCTATTACCCATGCGCAGAACATCGCCCACTTGCCATTAGCGCGAACGACCGCGGCGCGCGGGAGAATTCGGACGCTTTGCGTGTTCGCAATAGCCGCTCGATCGGGCAGCGGCGCCGCCACACAGCGCCGTGACTTCGCTCTCGCCGAAGAGGCTAGCCGGGAAGTTAGTTGAAGGTGGGAGGTTCACCCGGCAGACATCCGCATCACGCAGTCATCAGAATAACGTCGCTTCACATCCTCCCCGGTCACCCGCAGTTTTCGTGCCAACAGAGTTTCAATGGCCTGTTTCTGTAGGAGGTAATGACGCGTGTAGACGCGCGGAGGAAAGCGGGAGATTCGATTCTAAAAGACCGGAAGACCCTCATCTGCGCTGGACTTCCCAGACCGCTTTGGCAAGCGATCTCCGAATTCACTGCTCTTCCTTTTCACTTTCGCGTAGACGAGTACAGAGCAACTACTGTTACACTGCAATCGATGTCGAGATTTTTATGGAAGTACATCGAGTTTCATCGAAATCTCAAAATGGAAATTTTTGGGACTCCCTCCTAAAACCACGTTACTGAATATAGAAACGTTTTTGTTAATTAAACCCGTTTTCCAAAACTATATTTTTAATAATGTCATGAACAGTATTGTTCTCAAAATATGAGTTGTTTCGCTTAATGTTTACTGAAATAGTCACGATTAAAAACATTTGCAAACAAGATTTTTTCAAAATAATGGGGGGGGGTGTTTCAAGTTGAACATACATTTTCTGCATTTTTACTTCGTTCTTTTATGTGCAATTTAAGAATTCTTATGACGTAAATACTCAAGGCCTAATATTATCAAAGCCAGAGCCAGCAACCTAAGGACCCCCCAGGCAGCTCAAAGTCGGACAAATGTTACAAAGAGATCGAGCATAGAAAACAAACACAAAGAACATCATTCGTTGGCACTTAAGTGATCAAAAATGAAGTCGGATCTATTATTTTGTATTTCGTTAACTTCGGTTTCCGTCACCTGTGCCCTCGATGTGTCCCGTGGTCGGGCCCCCCTCTGAAGTTGGGGCCCCCGGCAGAAATTCGTTAACAATAGTAGGCACTAAAATCGCATTACCTGAGACGCGAAATAGCGAAGCCACCGCTGCCGCAACTTCAGCGACGCTCGACTTGACGCCATCCCTGTTGACATGTCTAATCGTCACTGTGTCAGACCCTCGAAATGCCGCCATCCACCGCGCGGAACCACAACGCTTTCAAGTAGCACACGAGTACGGGTGCACTTGCAGGTACGCATGTTCCCGCAAAACGCTTGGACTCAACGGAAGGGGCGCTTCGAGCTCTTATTTTAGAAAGCCATTTAGCCATCATTCACCCAAAGGTCGGCGTGCCTGATGCTGTATCGCTCGGGAAGTCGGCGGCGCAGCACCGCGGAATCCACAGAGCGGGTGGGGGAGAGGGTCGTGGTCCGAAGTGCGCGTCCTTCCCCGCACAGCTCCCGGAAAGCGGCCTATAGTGGCCTCCATGCTTCGGGCTCATTCACATCTTACTACAGAGCAGCGAGAAGGCCTTGAAGATAAGGTAAGATAGGATGTTGATGAACCCTCACATCGGCAGCGGTCAAGATGAAGCAGACGCAGGTGCGATTGATAATATTTATTCATAACAATCTTAAGAAAATCGATTCTTAATTTTTTTCCCGAGGGCTTTACTCGGCCTATCTCTATCTCAGCAGGCGATGAGATATCATCATTGTTTGTTTACGGAGAGTCAGATGAGCACATCAATCGAAACAACAGCATACATTTTATCCCAGAAACAAATTATTATATATTACCTATAGTTTAATATTGTTTGTGAGCGAGTTGCTTAAAGCAGGCAAAGGACAATGATAAAAATATTGAACAAAATAGTTTGTGTGTTCAGTGAGTACACACCCAGAATTACAACTTATTTACTTAAAAATTACTATTTTCACCAAGTAAAAAATAATGTTTTTTACTTGTGAAATTTACAATATCTGTCTCTGTGAGATAAATGGCATAACATGATTGATAACATTGGTATCTTGAAACATAAGCACCAACAAATAACAACAGAACCACGTAACTGAATTGATTGTCTCCCATATATTTTTGCTCACACAAAATATCATTCCAAACAGGACTAACATAACTCTCAAGGAAACTAAAGAATGCGATATTCAAATGTTTAGAAATATTAAAATTGTATTATTTTCTTCAGATAATTTGAGCATTAATCTATTACAGTATTTCAAACATAATATGCTGACATACAGCTAAATATCTTCTGTTTGTTCTGAGAAACTAGAAGAAACTGATCTTGAACCTGAACTTATAGCTTCAATTAAATATGGCCTTGTTCTAGATAGAGAAGACATTCTCCTCTTACAAAATAGTTTGAATGAAAGAAAAACCACTTTCACTGACGAAAAATTTGAAAAGTTCTTAATTGTGAACTATTTAAGTTGATTGTCTTGTGATTTTCCAAATAAAAATAATAAAACTGTATTTTAAGATTGTTGATTTTGTATTATATTTGTAAATAATTGTTTATCTTCTAAGTTCATATTACAACTTAATTTAAATATTACCATACATTTGTCATTTGCTTTTTGAGGGAGTTTTTGTGGCAATTTTCAACTATAATGCTTATTTCCCAGCCTATTTTTTTTAATTGCCTACTTGCCTCGATTGTTTTAGACCCTCCATGTCCAAGCTCTACTTATAACTACATCACAGATTTTTAGGTTTTAAAATATCTGTTTTAGGAGCATATTTTAAAAAAATCAATATTATATAGAATCAGTAGTGTATATTTTGCGATAATACTATCTATGAACAAGTTTAATAGTTTGTCCTCGAGTTAGAATTATGTATACCATATTTTGACACACAATAAATAACTTAGACGTTTTTCAAGTTTTCAAGAATAAATGAATGTCTCTTATTGGTTAAGATAACTCTTTTTTCACAGAAATTCAATTGCTTTATCTTAGAAGTAGAGGCAGGCTTTTCCACAAAGTCAGAAAATAGTAGCACAGAGACTTATTGCAAGATCCTTGATCTGTACATTTATTTGGTTATCGTAGAGCATTTAAAAAAAAACTAATACCATGAAAACAGTTAAAAGAGACCATATACAAAAGAAATTAGACAAATTAGTTTCATTTTAGGTTTTTAAAGGTAAAATCGGCCAAAATAGAAATTAATGTTGAAAGAGGCTTTTTTAGATACTATAAAATAAGATGAGTTGTAGTTCGAATATTCCTAAAATGTATAAATACAACTTCATTGAATACAATATATCCAAGAAAAAACTAGGTTTTCATCTAAATATCCGCAGTCTACGTATAAGGCATTGTGATGTCAATTCACAATTAATACACACATTTATTTAATCCACACAACTATCAATTCTACAGGGAGAGTAATTAGTTACGGTTTTTTGTTGTATTCTAACAATATCTTATAGAATTCCGTTCTTAATATGGTTAAGATGTCACATGATCAAATGTCAACAAAACGGTTTCCCAAACAAATATAAATTGAAAAAATTGTACAAGAAATGATTTGAAAATCTAATAATGAGCAAAACTTTGCAACAATAAAGAAATCTCTTGCTTCAATAAAAAAATAAACACTTTTTTACAAAATTTTGCAGTTTTCAAAATTCCAGAGGTTTTGATGGTAATAGCACCTCGTATGTTATATTTAATCTTTACTCTCTTTGAGCAAAAATTTAAGGCCAATTTTGAGAAAATAATGTTCATGAAATTTATAAAAATACATTGTCAGCATTTCAATCAAAATTATGGTAAAACCTCTCATATCTTCAAAAAAATTGTTTATAACATTATTTAAAGACGAAAGTTGGAAGAACAGGTTTCACTAGGAAAAAAAGATATCTTCAATAATGTAGTTAGAAGGAGTAGAACAGACTTTAAAGCTCTGCAAATTTTCAAAAATATCCTAGGAACTTCATGAAAAGTACCTCCACAAACTAAAAGATCCATTCCAAATTTACAGGGTCTTAATTGCACCCAGGTTGGTCCAGAAATATCCCTTTAGATGTAAATCCCCTAAACGCTCTCATCTGGTTATCTCCTCTACAGTTTACCTCTAGTACTCTTGTACTGGTGGACATGAGGAGAGAGAGAGAGAGAAAGAGAGAGAGAGAGAGAGAAAGAGAGAGAGAGAGAGAGAGAGAGAGAGAGAGAAAGAGAGAGAAAGAGAGAGAGAAAGAGAGAGAGAGAAAGAGAGAGAGAAAGAGAGGGAGAGAGAGGGGCTTTGCAGCTGAGGAAATAGTAGTTGGAGGAAGGAGGGCTTTACTATGAGAATATGGAGAGAAGAGAAGCATGGACATAGAAAGGAAGAATGTTTTGAGAAAATTAGAGATTTAAGAAAACATGTTGGGAGGCACCTTGAGGCTAGACTGAAAATGGGGAATGAGTTCAGAGAACTGGCTGAAAGAGGTAGAAAAGTTTTGTAGAAAATGCAAATTGGAAGAGGATAATTGGGAACTTATGTTGGGAGGGCCTTATACATAAAGTGATTGAGAGTTTAGAGAAGGGATTTGCCAGTTTATGAAATTCTGAAGACAATAAAATTAAGATTAGTAAATTGAAAGGAGGAAGTGAATCAAACACACGTATGGGATCATTGTGTTGGTAAAAAAAGAGGTACAGGGTTAAAAATGGAGGTGATGTGGCAGAGTGTGAATATGCAAAATAAAGAATCCTAGTCATCTGGAATTTCTTTGGCAAGCAAAACCACAGTTCATTCATTGTCATAATTTAAAAAGTTGGAAAAATTATCTTTAAAACAAAACAAATGGCTTCGAAAATAATACAAAGGCATTTTTGAAGAGCTTTTTGAGATCCATTAGCTATTATATTTCAAACACACAAAAAATCATAATGCACCATTTTAAAGAGTGGCTTTTTTGAAACTTAAAGGTTAAGTTAAGTTTCATCTACATGTAAGTTCAATTTGTTACTCCTTCAAAATCAAATCAAGCATGAAATCAACATGCATATTTCTTATTTTCAACTCATGGAGAAATGGGAAAAAAATAAGCAACCTACCACATGAGAGGTGTCTATAATTTTGTAAAATACTTATAAACTTAAGAAATTTTGGAAGAGAGGAAAAAAAAATGAAAAGTTTCAATTTTGGCTGAAAAAGATGTACATATTTTATCACGTTATTCTACCAATTTACATACTACGCCCACTGATTGAATTCTCATACTCAAGATTCACAGTTGATGAAACAGATGATGGCATGAGCACCAAGGAAGTGACAGCCTGCCGTTCAACATTCGCTATTTGTGTGTTGTGTTATGGACCACACACATTTTTTTTATGTTCTTTGAATGAAAAGAACTGTTGTTCTGTATATTTTACATACAGCATTTTTGCTGCGGCAGACACAAACAGTTTTCACTCTAGTGGTGCTCAGAAGCACATACTTTCTCCCATTATTTGTAACTTTTTTTAGCAATTTTTGAAAATTCCATAATATGTGAAATGCAGTTTTCACACAATAGCACTTAACAGGATATTTACAACCAAAATACAAATCTTATTAAAGTCAAGTCGCCCTACAGAGATTCTAAAAACTCTTGAGGATCATTAAGATTTAAAAATTAATTGTCATTTACCATAGATTTAAATTTGTTTTTAATTGTTTTCAAAAGAATCATAAGTTTTAGAAACACCAACTGCAATGATACATAGAAACACTATGCCACAGAGTGTGGTAGAGAGCACATCACCAGTTGCTTTTGAGGGTCTCAGGGGAATTTCAGTTTTCTGCCTTCATCTAAATATCACAACAGCTAATAATTACAACTTAGTAAAATATAAATATTAGTTTGTGTTTAGTTATGTAGTGAATAAACTCAACAACAGTCAAATATTCTTTTCATCCAACGATGAGTAATTACCAGGGAACAGATTCTCATGTAATTACATATTTTTACAGAAACAAATTACCTGCACTCAATATCTTTAAGTTTGCAATACATGCTGAAAGAATTGGCGGCAGGCATTTTTATTTGAAATTTTTTGGTATAATTACATATTTTACTTATTACAACACATTCTGTTACATTTTAATAAAAATAAGAGTTATGGAATCATCTTTCTTAGAAAGCAATGTAATGCCACTGGGCTATTATGAGCACCACATCTTTGCCATGATTTGTCACTCTTACCCCCCCCCCACCAGCTGCCTCTTTGAAATTGCGTGCTCAAAGTCAAGAATGAGCAGATGTAATTTCAACCATACTCTTCTTTCAAACAGCACATTCGTGATTCAATCAAAAACTAACAAATATCTTCTACATTATTGTCTTATCATGCTGTTGGAGGAACGGGGGTCATACCTCTTAATCTCCCACCCCACTCTGGAATCCATCACTGGCAGCACGCTACTACAAATCCCTTCAGCGCTAGCTCTTTATAAACAAACTGTATATACATATATTATTTTTTATTTCAAATAAAACTGGTATGTGGAGAAGACTAGTGTATAATTACTTTCATAGAGGTAGAATTTTCTTTCAGCTGCTCAGAATACATGTGAAGATCTGATCGATGACGTTTGTGTTCAGAAAATATTTTTATACAGTAATTTTAAACTCTCTAATGAATTTTTATTTTACACATTTTCTATTTTTTCTCAAATATTTTGGATAAAGACATAAGTTACATGTATAGATTTTGTTTTTTATACATTACAATAAATTCTCTTCCCTAACAATCTTTAAAAGCAAGTAAATATGAGAAATTCAAACTGTGGAATGCATGTTTTAAAAATAACTGTATGAGTAAATCTACAAAATATATTGGGAACAAAAACTACGTATGTAGAATTGGAACAATTAGAACTAAACATGATGTGTCTTATATCTTGGTATTAATTTAAATCTGATTTAAAATTTAAAAAATCCAATCAAAATCAAAATAAACTGATTTTTTTGATATTTTATCATGATTTTAAAATACTAATTACATTGAATATAAAATTAATTACACCGCTGACAAACAAGGGTTGTGCCATGGCTTACTATAAAAGAATCCATGGTCATGCCCTTGGCATTTTACATGGCATTAAAAGTTATAGGGAAGAAAATAGCTAGAAACAATTTCACGAGCAATTTTTTTAGCTTTAATTTTTTCTGTGATTAGAGTGAATAGGTGGCAAACATTAAAAAGTCTTGGATCTACAAAATGTGCAGGGAGCAAAAGAGGATGTAGGTTCCAAATCTGGTTTGATGATATATTCTTAAATATAAAATTGTAATTAGTATTTTTTAGCAATGCACTAATAGCAAATGACAGAATGAAACGAAATACAGGACATTTGATTGTTCTGAAAAAGTTTCTCAAGACACAGAGACAGCACTCATAAAAACAGAAAAATTCCATATTTTGTGAGACTTAAATGAACTCTAATGAACAGAAAAGTGACATCTGGATGTCAGAGTCAATTTTCACAACATGAAAAACATATAAAAATGATCAGATCTGTGGTAAAATGCTACCAAATTATTAATCTTTAGCTAATTTCCAATAACAAACGAAACCAGAAAATATGATTCCCAACAAACCATTACGAGAATACATGCAGAGACTATAACATTAATATAAACATGATTAATTTTCAAATTTACCTGAAACAATGGTAAATGCATTATTTGTTAGATCACAATAGTAATTTTGCTATTTGTTATTTGCTACTTTTTTCTTATTATGTTTTTGATTCACATTTACAGAGTATTTTCCATATCCTTGCTGTTTTGGGCTAATTAAGAGATAAGTGCAATGAATAGATTACATAAAAATGAAAATGTTCTAAAAATTATGTGTTTTTGAAAATATAAAATAAATTGTTCGTAAAACCATATTTCATAATTGATAATGGTTTTGAATCCTTTTATGCAGTTATTCAGACATAATGTTTACATAACACTTTTCTCTAAGTTTATAAAAGAGCTTGCTGCCTTATTGACCCACAGAAAACATATATACAATAACAAACATCCTACCTGGCTATTCGGTGTACAAGCTGCACAGCAAAGACCTTGGAAAGGTCGACCAGTCTTTCCCCAGAATATATTCCATTCCATCTGCTTGACTGGAAAACTTTTACTGTTCATGGTCTGCATTCCCCCCAAAAATACAATAAAAGAGCATTACTATTAACCATCAGTAGTAAGTTCATGAAAGGCATCATATTTCATTTCTTAAATTCAATTTGTAAAATGACTAGAATTATCATGTACGAAAACAATAAATAGAAAAGCATCAGTGATTTAGACATGATTCTGGACATCACTAAAATATCTTGTATCTGTAAAATTAAAGAAGACATTCTATTTATGTCAGAATGGAAAAAGAAGTAACACAAAATAGCATTGCAAACCACAAGATTTGCAATCTTATGTAACAGATGAATACACAAGAATATTGAACAATAATTTAATAATGCATATGAAACCTTGGCATTTTACCAAAAGTATAAAAATGAAAGAGAGATCACTTCAGTTTAAAACTATTCAGATTGTCTCATTAAATTTCTATTTCTAACGCACTTCACAATATTTTCAGGGTGTTAAGTATTTTAAAGGTTCTATAAGAATTTACATATCAATCTCAAGGAGTTACTACACCCAATTTAATATTTTGTGATCATAATTTAATCAAAATACTCTGAGGCAATGACAATTTCTTAAAGTAATGAACACATGACAAAGTACCTTTTTCATGTTATCTCGAATTAACTGGCGAGTTCGAACTCGCTCATGATATCCCACTCGGCGCAAGCTGGGCAATGACAATTTGCCCACAGAGTTGCTTCGAGGGGCGCTTCCCAAGGATGCCGCATTAGGACTTGTTGAAGGGGTTGAAGGCCCCTGAAGCTGAGTTGACATTACGTCCAACATTTTGGATTGCTGAAAAATGCAATTAAATGATCATGGAAATCCAACACATTTACTGTATATGTGCTGTTATTTTGTATACTGTATTATACTGTATACTGTATACTATACTCTACTGTATACTGTACTGTATACTGTATTATACTGTATACTATATACTGTATTATACTGTATATTTGCTGTTATCTGAAAATTGTAGTCTACAATCATCAAAATATTCTATACTATTATCTTAAGTAATCCATGATTTTGCACATATTAATAAAAGTTAGTATATTCTAAAGAAAAGAAACACTAAAAGAATAGAGACTGAGAATTTCTTTACTGACACAAATGTATCTGTAAATATTACATAAATTCCAACATAATTTTTGGATTTTGGATGATGTTAAAATTAGCTACTATGAAATGAAATGTTAGTGTAGTCATAATTTAAATTTTAAAAATTAAATAAAACGTTAATAATAATTGCTGAATCAAACTGTCATTTTCTTAACAATTTTTCTTAGTGAGTTACTTTCAAATATGTGGGATCAAGAACCTGGTAATATGCCGGAATAACTATTTGATAATATATACAAGAAATTAACAAGCATATGAGCACCCGAATTAAAGGAAATGTAATAACAATAGTTTTAAAAATGACAAATAAACTCAACGACACACTTACTTACATCCCTGAATGCTTCGGAATTGTCTCAGCAGATGGGACTCTCGCCAATTACCAAGTATATCTTACACTAATACTGAACATTGCACTAAAACAGACATGTAATAACACAATTCGAGTATGTCATACCCACAAAACGAAGACACGACATTCATAATGAACACACGCCGCACAGGTGTCGTGGCACAGACTAAAACGTAATCATTCACACAACACTGACTACACGAATAGCACGCCCCGAGTCGTCCCGAGTAGCTGAACCTTCGCGGTACTGTTGCACGGACGGCGTAGACGTGCCAATGAAAGCTTCTGAGCTGGTGGTCTGAGCGCGCCACAGACGACGTAACCAGGGACAGCCTCATTTTATGAAGCCGGAGATTGCATCTGCTGCTATCTATGATTTTCACGGCTCACGCGACTGTTCTCCCGCGCTATTCAAATGTAAATTGGTACAAAATTGCACAAAGGTTTTTCATATTAACTTATTCAATATATTTGCCCTAAAAGAAAAGAAAATTTTTCATTGGAAAGGGCCAAGTGTTATAAAGACAAAATGTTTCATTATTAAATGTCTAGTTAATACTAATTTTTTAAATGTTCTCTAAAATTAATTTTTGATTTTTAAATTGCTTCAAAATATTTTCTTGTAAAATGTTGTTGCCATAAGTATTTCAAACGGCGCAAGTCAATGAAGTTAATATGTTTATTTTTCTGATCATACATATTTATTTAATGCAAACTGTGCGAGCTCGCACAACAGTACCATTATTGTTATTTCTATTGCTGCAAATATCAGTAGTAGGTATTATGTTGAACAATATATACCTTTCTATTACAATTCATCCTCCTAGCTAAAAAATATGAAGTGCTCGACTCAGGAAGACTTCGCTTTTAATTATGAATGATGATATATTTTTACGATCAAGCAGATTTAAGACGAAAAAAATACATAAATTATTCTTGAAAATCAATACTGCTTATATTTACATTACACCTGTTATTATTTGGCATTATTAACTTATTAATAATGTGAATGATTACGACTACAGTTAATGTCAGCCAATATATATATATATATATATATATATATATATATATATATATATATATATATATATATATATATTCAGCAAAATATTTTGTATAAGGAGGTACTGCAATTATTTCATAGGAAACTTACTAATCGCGAAAACCCACATTTTTCTGATGATATTAGCGAATTAACGCACGACCACTTCTATTGAAATATTTCCCGAACTGTTTTGTGTCAAAATGAAATTGTCGAACTTTTGTGCCTTCATGCAAAAGATGCTGATATCATCAGGTCAAAGACTAACGACTACTCTGTCTTCACCCCAATATCTAGACTTATATCTTCTTGCAAATGGGTCATTAGCCTTACAGTCGCACTCTAAGAAAATCATACGATTGTGTACCGAAGAACTGTAGCTGATAAAACCAAGAATTTGCGCACAATTTGAAAAATAACTCACACAAAATCCATTCAGATTAAGGTAAAAATATACATTCTGAAATCAATTAAATTGTTTAAATTAAATAGAAATACAGGTTTTTAAAACTAAAGAGTGTATTCTTTTTGGAACGCACAGAAACGCCGTTCTGTACTCTTTGGGGAAGGCTGCTGTGCTGCTTATGGGATTTTGTGATTTGCTTTTAATACAAAATCAAACGTTCCGGTACTGGCAAATTGACGAGTACGTTCCTGTTCAAAAAACATATACTTCTCTCTCATTACTCAAGAGAATTTACAACAGTGGAGCCTGGCCCTTTCAAGGAAATCTGGCCAGATTAATTTCTTGGACTTGTGATATTAAACACCACCCTCGTTTGTATCTAGCTGAGAGTATAGAATTTCGCTATTTCTGAGTAGTATATTACTTGAATTTAACGTGAAACCGATGAATAAAAAGAGATACATAATAATAACAATAATAATAATAATAATAATAATAATAGTAATAATGTAATTACATATTTGTTCTGAGAGTGAATATTTTTACTTGGAAAGACTTGGAAAGACCACATTCATTTCCATTATAATCTCTAAGGTATTTACACAGCCGTTTGAATGAGACAAAGCCTAGTCGCTTCCACGCAGAAATGATGTAGTTTAGTTCTTCGATCATCAAATATTATAAGATGGGAAGTTCACTTAAACCTCAGTCTCCAGAAGTTGGGAAAATAGTTTTTTTCCCCTTCCTTTTCATCCCGAAAAGAAATGTCGAATCGATTACATTTAATATATTGGTATCATAACTGATGTCTTTATCATGAACATGATCAAGATTTCAAAATTTAGAATATGCGAATAATTCAACAAGCGTTTCGTTAATAAAACAATTCCATCTAATTATTCACCCATTTTCAACGTTTTGGCAAATACATTGAATAATTTATTGAAACAATTTCGACAAGACTGCAAGTTCACGGCACGCAGAAAAAAGACGCATTAGCATAACGTCATTGCATTTTCATCTTACGAATTATTTTTATTTTCACTATTTCAGTGCTACATTGCAGTGTGTTACAAAAACCATACGCGTATTGTCAAACGTAAAAGCCCGGCGGTTTTCTGCCAATAGAGTCTTGAACATCGAAAAACAGTTTTCCTCATCCACGAAAGTTAGAGGCGCAAACATGAAATAGCACAGATAATTTGACTGCAAATCTTCCTTGTTTTAGAGATAAGTCTATATTTTAACGAAATATGCAAAATATGCGCATATAATTATAAGAATATGCATCAATAGAAAAAATCGGCTAATAAGCACAACGATGCACTAACATATTATTAAAGTATAAGAACACTAGAAAATTTATCACATTTTGCTCGTCTTATTTTCCCCCAACACAAAGTGCATATAGGCATGATTTGGACCAGTCAAGTTGGCCTCTCACCCCCAAGTTCATTTTGGTACCCTCTTGCAAACAGATAAGGTTGCTTGCAGTAGCTTCGAGTACGACATTCTACAGTATTTGTCAATAAGGGTCATAGAGAAAGCACGTAAAAAGTCTAGCTTGGAAAATGCTAAGGGCTTAACATCACTTCCGAAAAAAACCAACATGGTCCCGCTTTGATGTGTACAATTGTACAATTACAATGTATGGTTACATCTTTCGGTAGCTGCCAATGTTATGGACATATTTATAGTGTAGAAATTAGCATAAACTAATATTGGTCTTTCACATATGTTGGGATATGTAAAAATTTCGTAACTGGGTTGTTCAGAATGTTACGTAAGAAGGCCTCTGAAACGTAGGAAGGTCATTTTACTCGTGAATGTAACTGCGTCAAATGGTCACTAGTCTAATTCTGCTTACAACTCTGTGCTCAAGTACTAGAACGTTTGGTGGAATCTTTCCCAAGTTCAGTATGAAAACTTTTGGATAAGTAGTCCAAATGCAAATTTGTAAATGTATGCTTTGAATTTTATTGAACAATCCGAGATACTCTATCCGACTACTTTAATTTGTTCTTGTTCAAATACCGTCCATCATTCGTCTTGGAAATATCCCCATCAGCCCTTTCGCAAACAGCAAAAGCAGAAGACATTCACACATTTGAATGATAACGCACACCATCAACTGTTTGCCTAGAATTCTACTCTGTTTATTTCACTGTACATTTTATAATAAATTCCAAACATGAATGGATGATTCTTCTTTCAAGCAAAGTTCTTGTAAATCAGCAAAAGTCATTCTAAATCACAATTCACTGTTATGATAATGGAAGGAGAAGAGTTGCGAGTAGGAAGCAAATAAAATGCAACTATTTCTAATTAAATAAACTTAAAATCCTAACAAGTGAAACAAATAATAGAATTTTCAAACTATACCACTTTACAAAAAAAACTCTCTATGCGAATTATCTTTCACTTTTTGCACTAATTTTATTTTTCCTCTTTAGGGGTATAATAAAGGGAGGAAACGTATTGGAATCACCTCTTCAATACAATCTCAAATTTTCTGTCGCAAAATCCGTGTCACTTGAGACGGTTCTTTGTACACACGTTAGGACTAAGGACAATTAGCGCTTTTCCAAAATGATTAAGACTGGTTTAGATGCCGAGGAGATAAACATAATCTTGTACCCGAAAGTCGAGATGTCTATCTCTACAGAATGTTCAGGGAGAAAACGTCCAAACTTCGAAAATAAGCTCTTAAGACAATTTTAATCATATTTTGTCTAATAAACTCCAAGGATATTCCAAATGGCTGAGTCGCAATAAGCACTCAATAGCTGGTTTGAAAAAATACTTTATATGCAAACATTTGCATTGCAGAAACACTCCAGACACATGTAAATTGTTTATTATTTACATAAAAATTGAATATATTTGTTCAGAAAAAAATTAACACAGAAATAAAGAAGTGTCGTCAGTCGCATTGTGTAAATTAGGTGCTTTTTACTTTCTCCCTACGGAGTGTGCCGAATGACGGCAAAACGTCTGTCCGCCTCTGTCTGTCTGTCCGTGTCTGTATGTCTGTCCGTCTGTGAATAACGCTAGCGGCTTTTAAGATTTGTCCCGATTTACCAGTTCATTCTTCAACCATATTGATTTTTTGATTTGGATGTTTTCTGCGTAATTTCCTTCATTTGTACTCGAAAATGTCACACACTTCTTTCAAAAAATCTGAGTAATTGTTGCGTAATAACACTAAAAGGAGGAAATGTTTCGGAATGCCGAACATTCCTACTAGTTTTCAATATAGATATATATATATATATATATATATATATATATATATATATATATATATATATATATCATCAATACACTGCAGTAGAGGCGGCACATAATTGAGTGGCTTGAGACTGTAGTTCTGTTCAGTGTGAAGTTTAGGGCAATCTTCTGGTCATATGAAAATAACAGATTTTTTTCATTTAGAGTACATTTTTTCATTTGGAGTATGTATTTTCATTATTGTTTTAACCAAGCATGTTGAAAAAACAACCATTAAAAATATGTATTTTAGCGCCACGGCACTTCACAGGGAAACTGGGTTCAAGTGACTACATACATATACATGGTAGATGCTTCACGATCGTTCATTTAATCATTTAATGTGGCAGGTTGAAAGGCGTTGGTGAAACGTGGAAGGAATAAAAACACATATTCAGGTTTGTCGACTTTGCGTAATCATTAGCGCTTACTCAATGTGAAAACTTAATTCGAAATACTCGCAGTACACACGTGAACCATGTGGCGTGATTTTATGGAACGTTTTACATCACATCCGAGATCAATCTCGGTGAAACAATTTCACGGGTATTAGACAATTGCTAAAGTAATTCTGAGCGCGAATCTATTTCGACCAATGCTTCTTATCCACGAAGAATAATTATTCGTATGTGATGGTATAATTCGTAGCACAACCTTGCAATAAGACTCATATACGGCGCACTAGGACTTTGAATCTAGGCAGCTGATTGAAGTCAAGTAACAATTGATCTTCGGACTAGCAAATGACATTTTGTATTTGCCACGTAAAAAACAGTATTGCGTCTAAACCGCATATATGTTTATTAGGAAAATTATAATCCACATATTCGCAATTAGCTAGCATGCTCATAGGTTATTTGTCATCTTGTTAACCACATATTTGCCATCTTGTTGAAGACATTTTGTTAATTGGAATTAACAAGTATGCTTTGATATCTTTTGTATTAGAAGATCTAAACATGGAAATTTATGGACTCAAAAGTATTAAATTGTTTTTCATTTTAAATATTCCATTAACACAAATACTGTATATTGCAATAAGAGAAAATAAGTACTGTTTAATACTACGAAGAATTAACATAATATAAGTCGTTTGAAATTACAAGAAAATAAAGTTAGTTATTATGTGAATATAATTCGAAGATTCATTTGGTTTAGCGTATAAATGTGTTAGAATGTGAATTAAACTATTCTTACCATTCTAAGCCTAAAATAAAGAGAAAATAGGAAATTAGATGCTAATCATACTGATTTCAGATTTCTCACGCTTCTTGAAAATAGCCGCGATAACCACAATGTGTTAACACCATGTAATTAACATGTATACAAAACCGATCACAGCGCTGAAACGGGTAACGCCACGCGGCTTAGAGCTAAGAACACGAATTCCCCGAGAGCGCCTGGACTTTAACAATTCCCACGCCAGTCTTCATCAGACAATGGCCATCTGCAGCAACTCCATTCCGCTCGCGTCCAACTGAGCGAGCCTCCACGTGAAGAAGCGCCGAAGCTCCTCGCCCAGGAGGCGTTCACCTCCGCGCTAACTCGTTGCGCCTACGTCACGCATCACGCCATACGCAAGTGCGTACGGCGCGGCGCGGCGCGGCGCGGCGCGGTGCCGCTGCGGCCAAGTGGGCGATGAGGGCGAGCGGCGCGGCGACCGGCGCACCAAGGATCCGGTTGATTGAGGCTTCCGCTTCGCCGCAGGGGCGTCCACCTCCGCTCGCCCACAAGTGGAGCGATTGGGGCTCAGAGCGGCGCGGTGGGGCCTCGCCACGAGGTGGGGAACCAACAGAGCACGAGCTTCTGACCGGACGAATTTAGCTCATCGCTGCCGTCTCTGCAGCGATTCTAACCGGGAGGATCTATTGTTCGAGCACTGACAGTGGTGGTTTTAGATACTAGCTATTCAGATAGGTCGAATTCAGCCGCTGGCTGGAGAACGATTCTCCCGGCTGCGCTGATCGGAAGTTTTCCGTGATTTCCCCAATCAATTCCAGGCGAATGCCAAATCAGTATTCTAAAAAACAGGCACAGGCCGCGCGCTCGATCTCTCCTATCTCTTTCTTGGCTTCTTCTCTCCTCTTACACACCTACACTCACACACATTCCACTACCATACACGTCGGGAGACCTATCTAAAGGTTAGTTACACGTCGGGAGACCTATCTGATGGTCCTGGCTGAGGCGGTGCCCCGCTGGGAGAGATATTCTGTGGAGAAATTCTCCTCAAGTCGACGTGTAAGTCGGCGCCGAATTTCACTACCAGTGATGGTGGAATACCGCCATTTCCCGGCATAAACATTCGTTACATTAACAGGTCTAAACATTGTAGCAGTTGCCGTGCCAGAAAGAATCAATTAATCAATCAACGAACGTCTAGGAGGTCGGCTGAAATTGATGCTACCAGAACGCCGAGTTCGAGAATATATTTCCAGAAGACACGCTGACCTCTACATATTATGGCTTGAGACGGTTCTGACAGAAGGTAGCGGGAGAGACAGTCCTTTCAGCAGACAAAGCTGGAGCTAACTTTCTTTGATTATGAACTACTCCTATTAGAGGTTTAAGCCTGTCCAAGTAATACGAGTAGTTTGGGCTTGGCTTCTCGGTTATTAGCGCGAATACGTCTGGGAATAGCATGGATCAGTCAAAAGGTATAAAAAGAGACAACCCTATCAGGAGATGCAATGTGAACTGATCACAGGAAAAAACTCATAAGCGGGTCTACCAGATAATTATGATCAGACCGATCTTATCAAGATCGTATGAAGTTCAGATTTATCAGAGAAGAGCTAGACCTACAAACAACTACAACAAACGCTAGCTCTGCTAGAAGGCAAGAGAATGAGTGGACCCTACCAGAACATGTGCCTAAGTCGGTCAACCATCTCCACGAGTAATGCACGAGAACATGCTCAGATCTACTAGAGGAAAGCCACACACATCAGACACCAGAGTATGAGTCATTACTAATGCCACCAAGATAACTACACTTCACGATTACTGACATCAAATTATGTGGAAAATTTCGATGATCTCATTATGATTTTATTCAGGGACGAGTATTACGCCATCGAGATAGCATTGATGTGAAAGAGAATCAATTGTAAAAGTGTTATCGTCTTTATATCCGGAATAATGTGTAATATTAAAAGTTGGTGTGCTGGAGATACATTCAAATGGATGAAAAAATCGAGTTTAAACGAAGGAAAATTAAAAACCTTTATAGAATAACAAATATAAGTATACTTCCTTAGACAGATTAGATGGCATACCAGAAGAAAACTGGATAAAACACTGCTCCACCCTGTGGAACAATCCAACTCTTAGATCCACTGAATTGCTTGAAGAAACTATCCAAATCTCTGGCAGTGAGGAGCTAGACAACTCCCTGAATATAGAACTCGAGGCAGTATTAAGAAAAGGAAAATATAGGAAAAGCCCTGGATCAGATGAGGTCAACATAGAACTCATAAGATATGGAGGAAATGAGCTGAAAGAAATGTTATTAGAACTTTTTCACAAAGTGTGGCTGGAGAAAACAATTCCAATAGAGTGGCAAGAGGTTTTGGTTATTAACATCCACAAGATGGGCTCATAGAAGATATGTGACAATTACAGTGGCATCACATTGCTATCAATAGCTTCTAAGCTATATGCTACGGAACAGACTCAATGTGAGAATTTCATGGGAGAAAAGCAGTGTGCATTCAGAAGGAGTAGACGCCATCTTTACATTACAGATGTTAATAGACAAAAGAAGGGAAAGGGATCTACCAACTTTTATAATATTTATTGTTTGTGAAAAGGCTTACGACAAAGTTCATAGACGTGTACGTAAGCTTCCGCGGCTCGAATCCATGAATTCTCGGCTATCCGGGAGACGCCGCGTCGTTGGCTGGGGTGCCGACGCTTCGCCTGACATTTCGCAGGCTTCCTCAGGGCAGTGACACTGCGGCGCTATGCGCCCGGTGATTTAAACTATCCTGCCTGGGCTCTCGGGAGGGGCAGGTGCGCTGTGATTGGCAGAGAGGTCTCCCTGATTGGCCAGCGGTTTAAACTAGGATAGTTTAAATCACCGGGCGCATAGCGCCGCAGTGTCACTGCCCTGAGGAAGCCTGCGAAATGTCAGGCGAAACGTCGGCACCCCAGCCAACGACGCGGCGTCTCCCGGATAGCCTAGAATTCAAAGTTCATAGACAGAAACTCTGGGAATTACTAGAAGAGGAGAAATTTCCATATCAGTTCCTCAATGCAATACAAAGTCTGTACAAGAAATCAAGAATTAAAATACTGTTAAGAGAGGGAAAAAGTCGGCAGCAATAACAACCAACAGTGGCTTTAAGGCAAGGATGTGGATTATCACCCATCCTCTTCAACATATTAACCACTTAGTGAGAAACTGGAGGAAGAAAGTTAGACAAGGAATACAGATCACAAAAGTCAAAAAGATAGATACAATCTTGTATGCTGATGAACAAGCTATTGTAATGTATTTTGAAGATAATTTACAAAGAGCAGTGATTGAATTGACAAAAGTAGACCAAGAATGAAGATAGCAATTCATAAAACAAAAGTTATGGCCATACAAGACAAGGAACAAAGGATAGCCAAAATAGTAATAAATGGACAATTAGTGGAACAAGTAAATACATATTCATACCTCGAAAATATCATAAGTGTATATAACCACACTCAAGAAGACATAGAAAACAAACTTAATAACTACAATAGAATATGTGGAACAATCAAGAGACACTTTGGCAGAGACATGGACCCAGAAACAAAATTGAAACTCCACAATATAGCTGCTAAACCAAGAATCATGTATAGCTCTGAAACATGGGTAATAAAAGAGAGAGACAAACAAAAACTACAGGCGGCACATATGAGATTTCTAAGACACCTCATGGGAATCACAAGAAGAGGCAGACTAAGAAATAAAGACATTGGAAAGAAATTGAAAACCAAATGTTTAGTAGAAGAGAAATATAATTTACCGAGAATGAACAACAACAGATTTCCAAAATTAATCTGCAAGTACAAACCGACAGGCATCAGATATAGAAGGAGACCACTAAATAGGTGGCCACAGCAGGAACTCTTGGAAGAGTACCAAAAGTCACAAAGAATCTACCAAGAATACTGTAATACGCCAATAGAAACAGGCTGTAGAGCCTAATATCTGGTCAGTTCATGATTATGATCATGATGAACTATACTTGAATTTAATGAGTACTCGATACTTTAATTTAATGATATCTGGATCAAGAGAGAGGTAGAAAAAGTTGCAAATGAGATGTTGATAACAAGCAAACCTGCCAACATTTTGAGCGAAAAGATACCTAAGGAAACCGAATAAAGGAATATTCAGAATGCAAACTAATCAGAATGCGCTAACGAAGGAAAACAAATATTGTTGACTCACTTTCTTTATATCAGCATACGCGACCTCACATTGTTTACGGAAGCAGTAAAAGATATAAAGTTCATTCTTTGTATTAAGAAAATGTGATGTAATTGAAGCGAACAAATAATCTACTGAGAGACTCTTAGTAGGTCACCGACCATCATATTGGGTGAATAGGTCACTAGGAAATCGATTGCTAAAACTGTTATGGAAAAAAACATTGAACTGACTGGCATCGAGATGCCAAATTAAGACCGATTTCCCCTTTGCAGAATATATAAAGTAGGTGATATTGCAAATGAAGTTTAATTAAAACTATTAAAAGCATTATACTTTGAAATTTTATATTACAAAATAGGAAAATGAAGCACTATTTCGATTAAAAGAAATACTGCATGTTGTCTCTCACATTTATCAGCACACAATAAAACTGTCTGCAACTTATAAACTGTCTAGCAAAGTTTACGGCCTTTAAACTCCAATTGATACGGCGGTACACAAGTATAAATGGGACGGTCTTCAAATTGCGAAAGTTGAATATGTCGCTTGCAGAGAGATAATGATGTAGATAATACATGGACTATTTCTGTGAGCGGTTGACGTAGAAATGTTGAGACATTTGCGATGAATTTGTATTGTTTTAGACCACGTAATTTCAGTAAAGTTATATTTGTTTTAAGGTAAAATCACGAGTATATACTGAAGGCAATTGGATAATTATATTAAAAACTTATTGTGTCAATAACTCTATTAATGAAGAAATTGTATCTGAAATAAATATGTTCTTGCCCAGGAATTGGGTTACTTTCACAGTGAAGAAGGTCGCATATTTTTGCTGTCTTTCGTAAATCTACCGAAACCGTTCAAAGCAGACAACTAACTTGCCGTGCAAATTGACGCATAATACATTATTTTAAAACATCTAGCAACGTGATGTTTACTACGGAGTATATTTTGCTAGACTTACACTATCACACGTGATACAAGTATACTCCTTTTAAAAATCGAAGGTGCTTTAATCTGCCTATTGAACGATGAAGCTACTGACAACAAATAGGTGATTTCTGTGTCACTTCGCTTGATTCGTTTGGCCGAAATGAGAACACAGAACTCTGAATGATAGTAAAATACGAGGGATTCGCGAGGCAACGTTTCTTGAAAGGGAAACTCAACCGACGGGGTCGTGAAGGTCGCTGCACTGCCCTGCCTCTTGCGGCTGGAAAGCGCTATGCTGCCCGACGCCACACTACGATCTTCCAAGTACCTGCACTTCGTATGACGCCGTATTTAATATCTTTTGTGCTCTTAATTATTCATGAAACATCAACATACGTGGTACTTGATGAATTCTCAACACCTGTCTATTCAAGTAAAAAATAGAGTATTTCATTAACAAAATAAACTAGTCCAATATCTTTTACATAAAAAATCTATTATAAAGTAACAACTCATGAGCCCTATATCCTGAATCGGTCGACGCAATCTCTCGATATCCTAAACATCTCAATATCTTGAACCGTTTAGAAAGTATTCGAGGTGGATTGACTAACTCAAGTATAGAGAGGATAATATAATATAATAATAATAATAATAATAATAATAATAATAATAATAAAAAGCAGAAGAAGAAGAAGAAGAAGAAGAAGAAGAAGAAGAAGAAGAAGAAGAAGAAACCGAGCGAAGTAGCTCAATACGTAGCCTACTGAATTCGCAATCGGGAGGTCCGGGTTAGATCCCTGGGGTTTTTCGTGGTTTCCTTTGGTCATAAGGCTAATGCTGGGATGATTCAAAAATCCCACGTACACCTCCCATCTCCCACTTCCCCACCTATCACCTCCGATCATCATCCTAGACCTTTCACTCCTCATCATCACGATATCACTTCAATCCTAATAATAATAATAATAATAATAATAATAATAATAATAATAATAATAATAACCACAACAACAAAAAAATTCTATCACCTCATAACTCATAATTCAATGCTTAACAACAGTGTCTTATGACGGGTGCAGAAGAGAATGTGTAGTCTGGTCAGAAGTGGCCCATACGATGCTGTTGCGAATAATAATAATAAGAATAATAATAATAATGATAATTATAATAACCATTGATAATGTTGTTTCAGCTTGTACAATTTCAGTGATGGCTAATAACCTAAAAAGCGGCACCTCCATAGTCAATTCTGTAACTCCCTCGAAGTCTCACGTGCTTCAAGTGATACGAAACCACCAAAATCAGTGACGTCTTTTGAACAGTGTAAAATATTATGCAACCAACGAATCTAAACCAGATCCATAATACAAACTGGATATCGTTATTTGAGATTTGGAGAAAAATGCATACCTACTTGTTGACGTTTCTTTGCCTGTGCGATCAAAATGTCCTAATCAAGGCAGAGAAACGTCTTAAATACAAGAAGTTTGGATATCGAGATCAGACAATTGAATGGCATAAAACCTGAGGTCGTCTCGATAGTTATCTGAGCCCCAGGATTTGTTCCGCAAATTCTATGGAAGAACTTGTTCAAAATTCCAAATAAATCAAAAGAATGGAATACATATCATTGAAACAACCCAGATTTACTGCGAATTATTATAGAAACACCGATATGCTTCTTAAGAGGCTGGAGTATATGTTATAGTTAATCGACACCTAACATATATATTCACGAATTAGGATAATAATAGTAATCATAACAACAAATATGAATTAACGGCGTCAGAATTCTGCAGATAGAGGTTGAAATCGATCCAGCTACCTAGATAGTATCAAAAATCAGTCGGCATCCGGACTGAAATCTTACGACCTTCTAGTCAACGATGCTGCAAAGCAAATGATATACTATTATATAACGCTTTACAACAATGGTATTAAAACATGCGATTGACCCATTTCGACAAGAGAATAATACATATTGTGTTTTTCATCCTTGAAATATTCTCAATTATTTTACATTAGAACTGGGCCATATAAAAAAATGTTTGATTAAACGTTGAATGTAGATAACGATACCGTCGTGTGCTGAAAACTAATGTTTCTTCAAATATTAGTGAAAGATAGTTATTTGAAACAGCGTGTTTTATTTTTTACTTTCGACGACGCAGAAACCCGTTTATTCACCAACTATTCACGTATATGGATGATTATATTAACATAACTGTCACGCGTGCTGTTCTCACTGTTTGTCACTTGTTAATTTATGCATTCGCACGGTAATTGCGCAAAGTGCACTGAAGCAAAGTCACTTCTGACAATATGATGATTCATTACGTTTTAAGAAATCTGGCAGAACACCGGCATAAATAGATCAAATTAAGGAAAATGAAGATTGCTGTACTGATGGTTTTTGAAGCTTAATATCACTCTGGGAGAGAAGAAGGTATTCTGACTTACCATGGGCCAACATGTTTTTATTCCAATCTTAAAGTAAACTTCGATATTTTGACGAATTTCGACTTTCTTAAAAGGGGACTGTGAATGCAAACCAGGATTTCTTTAAAACACAAATCATGCGGGCAACTATTACAAATTATGTAGACAGTAAGATACAGAATTACAAAATGGCGATATGTAATACCTTCTCTACGACGTGCCTATTTACCCATTTATTACAACTTAGGGAAAAGATGGGAACTGATGTAAATCATGAAATTCATTTACTACAACAATTATTTTTATTTAATTTTGATTTTAAACTATGAAGATAATAATATAAGATATAACAGTGTACACTATTTGTCAAACAAACAGGGCATTGAAAATTGAAACTCAAATGAGTAGGCAAATAACAGATGTTGCAAAGACCTTCGTGGAAGTTTTACGAGTATTCTATGCATACTGCCGAGGCCTTACACAGCTGAGTAACCAGTATTACTAAGGTGCAGCCATACTACAAATGTCTTTGGAAGCCAGAGTCAATAAACAGAAGTTGGTAAACACTAGTTTACTTATTTTTACGTAAATAAACGCAAGTGTTTATACTGGACGTCCAAACGTCAAATCTGTTGAAGGATTACAGTCGAGTGAATGAGGTAGACGGTCTTGGGGTAGACCAAATGTGAAGCTTCATGAACAGGAAAGTTTCGAGATTAGGATGACCAGATCTGAAATTTAACTCTTTAATACTAGTGATGAGTACGTAAAATTTACTCACTGGCATATATTTTTACATTTAGCATGCTTGCCCTGGCGCGTCGATATACCACCACACTGTAGTGCAATATTTACCCTTTTGGCATTAATATACGCTTAATCTCAGCGCTTATCCTCACTGATGTATTTGTTTTCTTTTGTTCACAGTTAAGGAATGTGATATAGCAATAAGACTTTTTTTTCTCCTGAGCCGAACCTTGTGGTCTCTTTTCCGCGGCTTTGATGCGATGGAGAGACCATTTGGGGTGAATAACAGAATTCGAAAGAGTAGAACGCGAAAGGATGTAGGTATTGTAATGGCTTAAAGGCTTTCGGCCTAGCCACATAGGATCAAGTAATCTAATTTGTTTGTAATAATTACCTATTAAATAAATAAAAAATAATAAGACATTTCGCTAAACTTGCGCAAATGTAAAGAACGTAAATTCAAACTATAGCACCTACAATAATAGAGAGGTTTCATTCTATAGATTGAATCTAGAAGAGCGCAAAAGTAAAGACAAACTTATCAAGACGGACGTTTAGGGAAAGACTGAAAACAGACGCGTGTTTCGATACAAAGCAGGAAAGTTTTTTGATATTCCACAGGTTAATTTCAGCAAAGCGAATGATACAGGGTACTATACTGTTCAGGCAAGTTTTATTGGTTTAAATTACAGGTTTCCTTCAAAGACTTCAAGGAAGACCCAAGGGAACCTGGAAAGGCTATATACCAGATGTACGTCATAGGAATGGACTAACTACAAGGGATGTAAAACGCAAGGCACAAGATAGAGAGGAATGCGTTAAATGACTAATCCGACGCTGAAAAGCACAAAGGGAAAGAAGAAGAAGAAATTACAGAATGTCTGAGAATAAATGTTACAAACTGGTAGGGCATGTAGAGGAGTCGAAAATGTTCGCTTTTCGCTAAGGAGTATTTAGTGGGAAATTGCACATAACGGAATGAGATTCGTTTATAATACATGTTAAATTTGCCCCTGATATTTAGGCAGTCACATATGCAAAGGTGTTCGGCAGGAATATAAAATCTGAGTGCGCCAGCACCTGACCTGCCGTATATTTGTTCATAAAGAGTTGCCTAAAAATCAGGGGGGAAATGTCACACTTGTAGCTCGTCGTACGAAATTTCTCAGTACATGTTCGTTGGCACAAAATTGATCATTTTCGACCCCTCTATTTATCTTAGAGTTTGTAACATTTATTCTGATACATTCATATATCTAAACATCTTGGGAACGGTAAATATAGAGTGTGCTTTGTAAAGATTTTCCCATTCTCTATTGAAATGGAATTCCAATTCATGCTTTCACTGCGATCTTATTTCGTTATCAAAATCTGTTAGTCTTTAATACTGCAGATATTTACCAGTAAATTAATTCCGAGTCAATAAAAAAAGTTTCGTTGGAGGGCTGCAGGCCATGCATTTCTGCAACCATGTCAAATGGCGACAAACTGCGAGTCTGTTAGTGGTGTACATACGTAGAACAAATTGCATCCTCATTTTATGTATAACCACACCCAGGCAAAGAATCATACTTCTCGCTCTTGCTTCTTGCTGGCAGCTTGCTTCTTTTCTCACAGAAGGCGTTTCGCTTCTTCGCCACGTGCGCGTTTTACGTTCCCACACGCCCACAACAAATATGGCTTCTTCGTGGCATGCATGGCGTTCGGCAGAGTCTATTTGGCCGTACGCGCACCATAGTGTTCAATAAAAAATAGTGAAGATAAATAATAGTTTCCATGCATGTGTACGGAAAACTATCAAGGAATTTTTTGGGAACAGGGATCTATTAAAGTGTCAAAATATCAACTCTTCGTCTAGCAACTTTTCATGAGTCTCCATTCGGAGTAAACGAAAAATGTATATAACCGCAATCTTTGGATGAAGATAAACCCAGCCTTTATAGCTATCTTTACCGTCAGAAAAGTGAATTCATCTAAATCCACTCCAGCTCTGAACAATTAAGACTCACCGTATAACAAGTTTTTTTCCTTACAATCCAACCACAAATTCTTAAATTCTCTAATATCTCGAGCAGACCAAACCCTGAACCCCGATGCTTAACAATCAAAGTAATTTATTTTTGTATTCTTTGATGTATGAGTAAATAATGCAGTGAAAAATGGTCTTTGATACGTTCATCAACTGGTTTATACTGTTATATTAAATTTCTAGAGTAGTCATCATATTTCCTGATTATTTGATACAAACATGGACTGTAAAATTACTTTGGAGATAAAGAATTGCAAACACGCGGACATCCGTCCAAAGTTTAAGTTGGGTTGTAGCACCGTTAGAAGGAGAAGAAAAAGACGACGAACAAAAACAATAAGAGCAGATTAAAATATTTGCTCTTTCTCAAAGATAGTTTTGAACTGGGGATAGTAATCGTTTATGAGCATCATAACTTATTCAAAGGCAGGAAAAATAGAGCGCTAATAAGAATCATTCGGCATATACTCTCGCGTGTTCACCTTTACGGCGTTAATGAAGAGGAGATATTCCTCGAAGTGTTAATGGAAGATGAGCACCAAGCGTTTGTCAATATATCGAGGTCAGCTGAAATTCGCGGACAAACTCAGATTCACGGCGTTATTCCAGATGGGGTACTCTCTAGGTTTCTAATTAATATGAGCACCAAACATTTGTCAATAGTGCGAGACCAGACGACATACCAGAAAAAATAATTTTGAAGGACAACAAACAAACAAAAATCTGCGAAAAAATTTGCGCTTTACTTGCAAAGTCTAATTTTGTACTTTGTATTCTTATCCGGTTTTAGAACCCTAAGATAGACTCGTAAATTAGTGTAAAGTCGGGCTGTATTGCAAGGCGATACCCCAATCAGTCTTTTAAACTGTATGAAATACAAGAAGTACATGTTTTCTTTGGTATGAAGTCACAAGTAAATCATTAAAATCTCATGTGCCAATGTTCGAAGTTTGAATGAGAGCGTCGATTTCATTGTTAACTCATGCGAAAATTCCTGTCACCACAAAGGCATTCAGAGGCACACAGCACGATATAATAGTAATTCAATCTTGAAAGTGATATGAATCTCACAGTATTCTCTCTCAATTCTACTACTCTCAATGTGAGATAGAAATTGAAGGACTATGTTTACATTACTCAGAACATAGTAAATTGTACCAGTCCAAGCATCGGTCAGTAAAGTTTCTATGTTTCTTTACCAGCATGAAGGCAGCAAAGTATCTTTTTTCTATTTGAAGAAGCGCTATGGGCTATTATGCAATGCGTAATGCCTACTAACAAGGGAAAGTGTTCAAGGGGTCAACCCTAAGTGATTTATTTCTGAAATGATTACAAAGAACCAAAAATTAATAATCCTTAGAATAATTAAAGCGATATAAACTGTATTTCAGTATTACAACATAGTCATATATGCAGTGTAAATCTACCCTTTCTTTCCACTTTCTCGTATACGCACAGAGTAATAATGGTAATATGCCAACTGACCGTCGGTCAGTCGATCACGGTCTTCGATCCGTCTATTTGTCAGTGCGTCTTTCGGCTCATTGGCCCATCAGCCCCTCGGCCCGTCCGCTCGATGATCGATCCATCCGTCTGTCTGTCCCTCTATCCGTTTCGTACTGTATCCGTTTGAGAACAAGTGTAGCGCCTAAACCATTTCTAGGCTTTTTCCAAAACGAATATCATCCGATCAATCTGGCCCGTCTCAAAGACCTGCGATTTTGAAAAATGGGTTTAAATTTTGAGGGTACTTTACATGAAGCCATTGAGACATTTTCAATATTTTCTCAAAAATAGCGTATTTTTTTCTTTAAATTTCTGGTAAGGGTAAAGCAAAAAATACTTGTAAAGGTGGTATAAGTTCAATTGTCACTGTTGACTCTGAATTTTCGAAATTTGGAATGTTTCAAATTTATGAACCCTTGGTATTAACTATATTATTATTGATATTGTTTTTTCCTTCAAATTTACATTGTTCTTCACAATTGGTTCTTTAATTAACGTGACATCAGAATAAAATAAATTTTGCTTAATTTTGAGTGATATAGACAATTTTTTAAAGCGAGATTGTCTAAATCATTAAAACTTAAGTGGCCGCTGAAGTGGCAGCCAATATTTTTTTCTTTAAACTTTTAGTACTTCGAGTGCTAAATGCGCAATGGGCACAAGGTTAACATGACCTTATCAACGGATGGTTGAATTGTGAATTAATTAAGGACGGGTGATTCTGGACTTCTGGTGTTTGCACTGCACGCTTTGACGCTTGGAATCTGGCTCAAAATAGTGTATCCAAGTTTCATCACAGGTCCAAAAATCCATCACCTTTGAAACTGAAAGGATTTTCCAACTCGATGCAAAAGCGAAGCTCCTCAGCTTCGCGAATGTAAGCCTTCAGTAGTCAGTCATGACTATTTCAATTTGTTTTGAATGATGGAATAACTTCTGTCAACATTGATTCGATATTTTTCAGCAATTTGTTCAACTGTACGTCGTAGGTCTTCCAGAAAAATGAATACAATGCCAATTTCATCTGTTGCCGGATGTTCCGAGTGTCGCTTTTGCGGCCACTTAAGTTTTTCCACAAATGCGTAGAAACTCCCTTGGTTGATGCAACTACTGCCATACTGTTTGTTCATCCAAAAGAGTAATTCTGACAGTTGCACACTTTCCGAAAGTAATGTTTTCCTTCAAAAGTACTTTCGTCGATTATACTGGTTATCGTAAATAATCAAAGTCTTTGGTATAGAAACATACTAGACTCACTGACAGTGTTGTCACAGAATAACTCTGTTCTGAACTGTCCGTCCACAAAATTGTAGGGGCTCATAAATAAGGCTTTAGAGGTTATGTGCGTGTAAATATTAACAAAATGTTAACCAAAGATCAGAAAACACTCTTTGCTAGGTCACCAACTATCACTTATAAAAGTTTCAATTACCTAAATTAAGAATTTCCTTCATTGAAAATGTTTGCTTAAATATTGAATGATCCACGAAACAGTTCAATGAGTGCAATTAGTGATAGTTTTCACCAGTATTTTAGTTTGTTTCCATATCGTTAACAGAAAAAAATATTGTAACAATCGATACAAATCATTTCGAAAAGTGTACAAGAATATTAAAATGAGTTATTTGATATACAAATTGAAAGAGAGAACCATGGAGCTGGACGGACGACGGCAAAAAAATTTCGTTTCCAAAAAACTGTTTTTTCCCTGCATCCGAGCACACAATTCCAAAACTCTTCGCTGCATGGAGTCACGCGCAGCAGGGTCTAGAAGAGTAGAAGTTGATGTAAAGAAAACAAAATTTTCGATGGGATATCGATAGCACTAAACTTCCTCAAATAGCTTTAAGGGTCTTTATGTTGCTTGTCGGTGGAATGATTATTTCGTGCTTTTGGGCGCATTAACCGCTCTGGTCATTTGTCCCATGTAGCAAATATTATTGTCTGGGGACGTGGCGGTGTTCTTCCTCTGCTGAATGGTGAGATTCGGTGCCAATCTACAGGTGGACTTGCCGTGTTTTCTTCATCCAGGAATCTCCCCCAAAGGGGCACTGGCCCAGACAGGTAAAAAGAGCTAAGCTCCTGACTGGTCTCCCGAGATGTGTGGTAGTGTAGTGCTTGTAAGTATAAGTGAAAGCACAGGGCAAGGAAGAGGAAGAATCGCGTGCGGTTCGTGACCCGTTTCTTAGGGTACTGCTACGGCAAACGCCTGATATTTATCGGAGAAATCACGGAAAACTTTTGATCAGAGCAGGCAACCTCTAGAATATCCTCCAACACCGGCTGAATTCGACCTAGTGATCTAGTATCGAAAATCCTGACACCTTCGGGATGCGAACCCTAGAACCTTCCAGCCAGAGGCTCTACAGAAATATCAGTCGATGCCCTGAGCCACCTCAGTCAGTTTTTTGTCAAAATAATTAAGGGACACAAGTATAATATTAATATTAGTACAAGGGGTTTCCGGAACGTACAACTGAAGGTCCGTCTAGAAGGAAGGCGCTCTGCCTCAGCTGGGCGCCGCGCCGGTGGAACGCGGATTGGGTAGACTGCGTCGCGCCGCGCCGCGTCGTGTCGCGTTACCACGCGCGCACGGCCGTGTCCGCGGCGAGGACGGCAGACGACAGCGACTCCCCAAGGCGACGAGGAGCCACTCCCCTGGATGTGGGTCAGGTCCACACTCGGTGTGCAGAGCCAGGGAGCGAGCAATTGCGAAACACATGCCGTCTCAGCGCAGGAACAGTGACTCATTATAAAAGTCTTGTACGTCATTCTCAGTTAACAAGGATTTTTTTTTTTTGCCTTTCATCCAACAAACTCATTCTTTTATTAAAAATATTGCCTTTTATATCAATTTATTAACATTTCAACAATGCCACTTTTCGATGTTCAGATGTCAGCCCAACTTCAGGCTAGAAACAACACAATTTTCTTCAACACTTAACATTCTGTATAAAAATGATAGTACTTTTATATTAAATCATATATCAACATTTATATGAAATTTACATTAAAATTATAATAACAATATCCTTGTCTCATCTAAAAAATGTTTTTTGAATAAATAGAGGAAAAAATGTTTAAAAAATAGTATTTTTAGTAGTAAAATATAAAGTTTGCTTGTAAGACAGCTGATATTCAGAGTAAAACGCTCATTTACGGTACTCGCAGAATGAACAGCACTACTAAAAATATAACCGTAATCCTGAAATGTAACAACGAACATTTTTGGGATTTGTCAGACAGTATGATGTATTTTTTAAGTGTAATAATTAACAAAAATTCCATTTGAATCACAAACACTGAAATGTGCAGTTCGTCCATATCTTGCTGCTAAAATATTTCTGCGAATGATGCAAAAATGCTTTTATTAATGAATAAAATTTTGGCTTAAAAACATTCGCTTCCTCTAGTAAAGTTTACAATGTTCAAAAACATATATCACGTAATAAAATTATGAAGCACCTAATGAAGTCTTCAACAGGCCATTTAGGCTTTAAAAATTTAATTTTACTAAGTAAAAGAGGGCCGATTTTAAGGGAATATATTTTTAATATTTAAGGTACTAACACAACTTGTGTTTGCTATACACTTTAATAAAGGGGGCCCGGATGAACGTTTTGCGGGCGGGCCCGCACTCATTTCGTTACGCTACTGATTCTAGAGAATGTTGTTTTCAAAGATAACGATAGAGAAGTGAACGATCCGGCAACAGTGGTTAGTCTGTTCGGCCAACCTTTTTCGAGAATTGCTGCTGATCTCATTATGTAGCTTCAGCCTTAAAATTCAACATACGTTTCCACAAAATGTTTGCTTCCGAAACCCCTTTCTATGAAATTCTCAAAGTAATCCGTAAACTAAAAAATTAATATTTGGCCTGTTTAGATGAATTTTCGCATTATTTATTAAAGTCTTGCGCGACTGCTATTATACACCCGTTGACTCGCATAATTAACGCATCCTTATGCACCGCAACTTTTCCAGATATTTTCAAAATAGTCGCTAGCCGCTATCTAAAAAAGGCAACAAAAATAAAATTCAAAATTATCAGCCAATTTCATTTTTGTCAATTTTTTAAAAAGAGAATTTCAAGATCTTTTAAAAATTTCTCAATAAACACGAAGCGTTGTTGGATTGTCAAAATGGATTGAGAATAAAAAAATGTACGGAAATGTACAGCTTTTGACGTCCTTGATAATAACACTTTACTTTCAAATTCATCTTCGAATGGAATTAGTGGTATTGCTATAGATTGGTTATGTTCATGCCTGAAACAACGATCTCAGAGAGTAGAAATACTGCACAGAAATTATATACAGGAAAGGAACTTTATATTCGCACCTCTCCGATTCATTGCCAAATGCACATGCAGTCCAGCAGGATTCGATTTCAGGTTCTATTCTCTTCCTATTATACGTAAACGATATGACCTCGATGATTCGAAACGAACGAACAGTTCTCTTTCCGAATGATACGAATATTATTTGCAAAAAAGAGACCGTAAATCCCACAATATCAGATACTTCAAATTGATTCCGTAATTACAAATTAATAGTAAATGAAAAGAAAACGGTTTCAATTCAGTTTTCCGTTTTAAATTTACAATTGTATTACGTTGAAAATGAATTATGTGCCATTGACTGACAGTAAGGTAACTTAGTTCTTTGGGTCTCATAATTCAGTCAAACCTCAAATAGAACGTTCATTTAAACGAATTGATCACACAAGTAGGCTCATTATGCTATGTATTCAGAATTATTTCAAATTCAGATTTCAGTTAACCTTCATACTACTCTCTCTCTCTCTCTCTCTCTCTCTCTCTATATATATATATATATATATATATATATATATATAT